GGAGGGGCTGGAGGCGTCATCTGCGCTGCTTTCACGGGCAGGCTCTGGAGCTGGGGGGATGCAGGGGGTGCTGGGAAGGTTTGGAGCTGCACCTGGCTGTAGGGCCGCTGCAACTGCGGCTCCAGGGTCCCGCTGCTGCTGCCACTGCCGCTGCTGCCCTGGAACGTGCTGCACAAGGGATCCGAAAACAGGTCTGGAAAGTCTCCTGCCTGGTTACTGACAAACTGCAGCATCTCTGTAAAACAGAAAAAAAAAATGTTCAACACTATTTCGTCACCTGCATACTTTGATACCTGCCATTTACATCATGGAATTATGAGGTGTGTGCACAGAAGGGAGCTCTGGGTCGTTCAAAACAGAGAACAACATCACACCAATGCAACACCTCCAGAGAGACCAGTGGCCAGCAGGAAAGCACTGCTGCTGCTGTTCAGAGTGAAAAGTAACACTTTCCAGACAACAAGATCCAAGCACAGACTAGACCTTAAAGCCATCTCCAATACATATCTAAAATATTAGAGCCTTGTTCCATCACTCCTTCAGTCTAACCCTTACAGAAGGAAGAAACCAAGCACCTCCACAATTCCAGCATGAACCATTCTCCCACCCAACTTTTGGGAGTTTTCAAGTCCCCTATCTTCTCTATTGCCCCACGGAGTATCTGGAAAAGAAAGAGACAGGATAAGAATTTATCTTCTCTTCCTTTTACTTACAAGCATAACAAAAATAGGGAAAAACCATGAAAGGAAACACCACTTTATAGAACTGTACCATGATCAATCCATGCATGTGTTTAAAACATCAGAATAACTTTTTCTTGGTTTGGTTGGTTTTCTGCCTGCAATCACCAGACAAGAGGTTTTCTCCATCCCACCTTCTCCAGGATTTTATGAACCCACATCAAGAAGCTCCTACTGCAACACTATAGGCCTTCCCCCTAGAGGTGAACATTTCACAACCAAGAGATCATTGTTCATAAGCAGAGCTTCCTCTTCCCTCCATCTAATCCAATTTAATACCTTAAGACATATGAATGCTTTCCCTGATCTGTGTACAGGCAGTGGCATGAGAAATCAGACATTCTTCCCCACCCCAGGACCTGCCCCTGAGGCACTGGCTCTTCCATGATTTTCTGAAAGTCCTATATAGTTTTTCTGGAAACAGGAAAAGAGGGGACCCTCAAATCTAAGAGAGATTATGACAAAATAATAAATATGGGTTTAGGAAGCAAAAAATAGATTTCTGATTTATAGGAAAAAAACACACCAAAGGGCTTCTTACACCAGGACCTTTCTCATTCACAAACCCCAAAGGATGTTGCTGCTGTGATTTATGAAATAGATTTAAAGCAGTAAACTTTTGACAAGAAGTTTCCATGGATTATGCCCCAGCAATAAGACGGCTATTAATTTGTTCAGCTCTCTGAAATGCCACCCACACATTACCCAATTAATTTGTCTGACACTCCTTTGTCTGAAACAGAGCAAAGGGATGAATCCTCCTGCAGGCCTCTTGGTCCTTCAACACACATTTCGACACATTTCTGCAATACTTCTACTTTTCTCTTTGGATAGCAATCCTTCCACACCCTGACACACATTTAAGCACTGGCCATGATCACTGCTCTCAAGAACTAGAGTCTATTGGAGGGAGGAGCCTGGGAGATCAGCCCTCCTGATCTGTTCACAACCTGACTCTAAGTGGGGATGCACAGCTCCCCCAGGATGAGGCAGCAGCCACCCTTGGAGACCAGCTGGACCAAACCCTTGTCTCAACTCTTCACTAGAGGAATGAAAGATTTCTTTTTTTTAATGCATTGCCTTTACTGCTTTCACAAAACACTAGCAGAACAAAGAGGGCTGTTTCAAGATCAACATCTAGATAGATATTAAACAGCTCTTCACATTCCAACTGACTTCAGCTAAAACCATCCCAAATAACCCTCACCGTGATAAAACTGATAATCCAGACTACTTCCTGAACTCTGCATTTGATTGCTATTTAACTATCAGACAGCACAACTGCAAGTAGGGAATAAACATAAATCAGATAAGATTTGGTCTGGAAGAATAAATTCCAGCATAAGAACAAAATTTCAAGTGCTGTGCTTTAAAGAATTTTTTGTTCAATGCAGTAGATTTAATAGATTATTAAAAAACTACTCCTGCTCTTATAAGTTAAATCACAACTTATGACAGACTTAACTTTGACTAAATGCAAAAAGTCTAAAGCTTAATTTTTTCAGAATTAAGACTGCCAGGAAGTTTGACAGTCTTAATTAAAATCCACCTCTTTTAAAGGGCTCAACAGCTTTCCTAATAACAATGCACAAAAAATCAAATGCAAGTGAAACAGCTGACACCCAAAATCTAAATCTCTGCTTTTTAAAACACCTTTGCCTACCTAGAAAGCAGAATATCCACACTGACTGTGAGAAACCTCAGGTGCTTCTGGACCCATCAGTGTCACCAGAGCACCTGCACCCTCTGTGTCGGAGAGGTATCTAGGTCTCAGGCCCTAAAGCAGAGTCACCTTACTGCAGAAAAATATCCCAGCCCAACCCAAGGCTAAAAAATGTCAACAAGGTATTACAAAACCAAAACTGAGCCCACCAAGGGCTTCTGCTGCTTTCATCAGCCCAGGGCCTGAATACCTGGCAGAAAGGCAAGGACTGGGCTTCAGCTGCCTTTCCCAGGCAGTGGCTCCAGCCTCAACAGAAACAACTCCTCTGTCCTGATGTGCTTCGACCTCCCACTGACTCAAACCTCGTACTCTGATGTTACCCAGCAGTGCCCTGCCAGCAGAAGATGCCCATGGCTGGTGAAGGAGCTCATGCTGGGGCAAGAGGCAAAGCCTTTGGGCTCAGCACTGGGGCCCCCCGGCCACCCTCGTGCCCTGTCTTGAAGTATGAATCCAGTGAGCACTAACACCTCAGAGCACATCTGCCACAAAAAATCAAAATCCACACAACAGGCAGTGAGGAGCCCCCTCAGTCTGAGCAGGAGAGGAACACCCACAAGATGACTTAAAAACCAAATGAAAATCCTTGCAAAATTTCAAACCCTGAGATGAATCCATGCTGATGCACAAAAAAAGCAGGATTGTCACGTATCTTCCCCCTGCCTTCCCTGAGAAAATCCACCCCTGGAGGTGGGGAGGAAAGCGAAGCTCGTTTTCCTAAGTTACTCATCACTCTGAATCACACCTCAGCTCAGAGCCATTGCTGGGTTCATAAATTCGTCTGTTTCCGTATGGAACCTGAGAACTCATTATGTGGTGCTCAAGCAACAGCAAACACTTCCTTCAATATGCACTATCAAACTTTATGAGCAATAACCAAACCCACTGCACCCTCATAAGGCACAGTCTTCTTTTACAACAAAAGAAAAAAAGGAATATACATTTTGCCCCAAGCTGTGTGGCAAATCAGTGTCAGTGAGAGACCTAGAAGTACTGGTAAAATTTTACCTCCCAGTTGCTAAACAAGGATATTTTGGACAGCCCCAAAACTGAGCACTGTTTGGGATTACAGCCCAGCAGAGCAGTGAGCTAAGGCAGGAGCTCATCTCCACCCGGCTACAGCACAGACTACACCAAGAAATATAATTTTAAATGGAGTTTTCAGGGGCTAGTGTCGCCAAAAATATACATAAAATAGGAGACACGCAGGCGCTTCATCTTGCTGCACTTCGGTGGAAAACAGGGGGTTTCTCACAGGTATGGGCTGTGCCAGCGATGCAGTAAAGTTTAGGATGAGGCGGAAAACGGGAAATTTCAGCAGTTAGAGCTGCTCCGATGCAGGAGGGCTTGGAGGCTCGGCCTCCCACGGGCACTAGTGGAGGCACAGCTTCAGCCATCGTTTAGCACCCACTTTAAAAGACCCACGAGGGAACACGAGGGGAATGTGGGCAGCGCCGCTTGCACCGTGGATGTGCGGCAGGAGCAGGGAGCACGGTCACCGCTTTCCCCGACCCCTTCCCACGCCAGCCACCGGTGGAAGGGTGGGCTCGGCAGCTCGGATCCCCACAGCCCCACCGCCCTCCTGCGGCTTCGGCCTCCACTCCAGGCGTGCAGCAGCCCCACGGAAATAGCTCAGAAGCGCTCCCGTGACAGGAGAGACACGCGTGGCCGCTCGCCAGGCGAGCGCTGCCCGGCGGGACGCGCTCCGCTCCCCCGCCCGTGCCCACCCGAGACGCGGGATGCCCGCTCCCCCGCACGCGTGGGAAGCGCCCCCACCCTGAACACTCCAGCAGCACGATCCAAGGACCACCCACCCCCGCCTCCTACCCCAGCAGCCGCGGGCCCGCGCGGGGAGACCGGAGCGCTCCCCCTGATATGCGTGGGGAGCCCACGCGCGCCGTCTCCACCCAACCCCCCCGCTCCTTCCCGCGGCGCCTACCGTCGATGTCGCCCAGGGTGAGCTCGTCGCCCAGCTCAGTCAGGGTGTCCATGCTCTCGGCGGCCAGCTCGCCGCCCTCCATCGCGCAGGGCCCGCCGCGGCCCCGGGCGCTCAGGCGGAGGCTGCTGCCGCTGCCGGCGGGCGCCGCCGACCCCGCGCCATCTTGGGCCGGCCCGCGGCCCCGCCCCCGCGGCCCCGGCGCGCGCGCCCCCCGCGGTTTGTTGTCAGTGAGACCAGGTCGCCCCCGGCCAATCGGCGGCCGCGGCGGCGCGTGGTGTGATGGCGCGTCAGCGATCAGCAGCTGCGATTAGCATAGCCCGGCCCGCCCCCTCCCGATGAATATTCATGAGGGGGCGGGCAGCGCCGCGCGGGGGAGCGGCACTGACGCCACCGCCCCCGCCGCCACGGGAAACGCGCCCCGGGATGCCGCCGGGATGCGCGGCGAAAAGGCCAAATGCAAGGTGGCGGTGGATAGAGCAGGGGGCTTGTCCTGCCCTCCGCAGCACCCACGGACCCTCACCTCCTGAGAGGCCAGCCTCGACGCTTTCTGGCATACACCCGCTCCCACCAGGAACGGGAGCAAAACCCAGGATTCTTCTACTTAAAAAAAATAATAAAGTTAATTTTATTCAAGAAAAACCAACTGCGCCTATTGCCACCCCCTCCCCTCAATGGAGGGACTTGGCTCTGCTGTTAAAAAACCCGGGACGTTTCCCTTTCCTCAAAGGCTGTGATGCTGCCAGCTCGACACAGCGAACCGGCTCCTTGGGAAAGCAAAAGCCTGCAAGAGCCTGCTCTGGTGCGAGGCCATCAGCATAGGTGACAAATCACAGGGTGGCTGCGTCGGGTCGTGCTCCTATGGCAGCTGACACGTGGTGGAGGGTCGCAGCCACTCAAGTTGCCTCCCTCCCTATTTTGGCCGCGCTATCACCACATGCCCTCATCTGGCTGTCCCGTGACAAGGGGCTTTGGGGGCTCATTTAGAGAGGATGAGCCCCAAAGAGAAGGGATGGGCTGCAGGACAGGCTGTCAGTGGCTCAAGGCTGGCTCCCCAGCATCTTCAGCATCAGCATTGCTTGCACTACAGCCACCCACTGGATGCAAAGAGCCAAGTACCAAAATTCCTCCAAATTGTCCAAAAATTCACCGGGCATTTGCTTCTCTGTGGGAATGACCTGCAGAGGCCCCGACCTGCCATCAGCCAGGAACAGCTGCCATCGGCATTTTCAACTACGTCTGGACAATGAAACACATGTTGCTCAGTGAAACAGCCGCTGGGAAAAGGGAAGGTCTGATCTGGCAGAGGTAGCAGCTGTGCAGAGACCAGGTAGAACCCAGTGGGGGGTGCCCATGAGATCACCCGTTTAACAAAACAAAAAGCAAAACTGAGAGAAGCAGCATTGCTCATGAGGCTGTTTGGTGTGATGCACGCCCCAGCCCACCCGTGTTGGAGGAGGCATCTTCAGTGTGGGGTGTGCTGCAGTGAGGAGGGCTCCCTGGGCTCCACCAGAGATGTGTCCCCCACACCCTACTTCTCCACAGGCAGCAACACCCTGACCAGGGGATGGCTCCAGTGTTGTCCTGTCTGTGCTTTACCTCTGCAGAAGGGGTATCTCACTTTAGCCCCTTTGGGGCAACCAGCACCACCACGCAACCTTCACTGAACAAAAACAAAAGGCAACAAAACAAAACCCACAGCACAAATGGAAAGGGAATGGCCAGGCACTGGCCCAAAGCTGCCGAAAAGGGAGCAAGCCACTCTGTGTCTCAGTGGTGTCACCTCCACTGCAAGGCACAAGTCCCAGCATGCTACAGCTCCGACTGTGAGCGGGAGATGCGTGGGCCCTTGCGGATCTCCTTCCGCTTCTCTTCCTTCTTCCTCCTCTTCTCCTCATCCCGCAGCGCCTTCTGAAAGGTGTCAGCACTGGGGAAAAACTGTGGGTTGACAGCAAGGGGTCAGCATGGGGCAGTGCCCACAGCCTCTCGGAGGCACAGCCCCTCCAAACCCACCAAAGCTAGTGCACAAGCCTCACTTTCCAGGGAGCTTTGAGCATGGATGCAGCACGAGGGAGACAGAGGCCAACCACGAGGCAGGTGGCTACAGAAGGGAGGAGAGGGCACCAGGTGCCCAAAGTAGAGCACAGATGGGGAATTCAGTGTTTGTGTTTCAGCCATGCTTATTCAGTGATAGGGTCTTTTGGCCATTTCCCACAGGCTACCCATTCCATTCCTCAGCCAGCTGCCTGGAGCTGTAACACAGATGGGAAAGCCCACAAGACAAGCTGGCACGGTTGCCATCTTACCTCTGACTGGTCCGTTTTAAAGGGATTGCGGTAATCAGGCGATTTCTCACTGATTCCTAGCTCCTGAGCCATCTGCAGAGCAAAGGGAAGACCTCACTAGGGAGTGGTGCCTCCCACTTGCATCCCCCAACTGTTTGACCAGGGTCACATCTCTTCCACCAGTCCCCATCCCTCAGCTCAAGGACAGCCCCCAGACATGGCGGGTCCCTGCCTTCCTTTTACCCCAAAACCCTCACCTCCCCCAGCCTAGCAGCAGAGAGGGGTCACAGCACGGGAGACGAAGAGCCATACCAGCTGCAGGACCTGGGAGTGGGGTCCCTGCTCGAACACACCCGTCAGGTTGCAGAAGCCGATGCCCCAGCGGATGAGGCTGTTCCAGTTGGAGTTGCGGTCGAAGTAGTGGTGCACAATCTTGGGGAAGCGCAGGACGACGTCCCCGAAGAAGGCAGTGTTCTCCACCACATGAGAGTATGCTGTGGGGACAGCCACCAGCTCTATCAGCAGAGACTGAGGGCAAACCAATAGGCTCCCCAGCATGAAGTGGTCAGAGAGGCAGCAGACAGGGACCAGCCCTGGTCTGGACTGGATACATAGGGGTTTCGTACCTACCCCACACTGATCCCAGGAAGAATGTCTGTGGTGCACCAGAGCACCAGAAAAAGGACAGGGGTAAAAACTAGAGAGGACATACCATCCTTTATCTTCTCATCCTGAGGGAAGGGCCCATCAGGAGGCACATCAGCAGCGATAAGGACAGCACGGGAGTCCTCCAGCACCTGCCAAAGTCCTTGGTGACTGCTTTGTCCTGCCAGTCTTGCCCTGCACCCTGGAGGTGCTGCCCCAGCTGCCCCACTTTGAAACCCCATGGCATCCTTCCTTCAGGTCCAAAAGCTCATCTGCCACACACTCCACAGAAGCCCCCAAACCTTCCCATTTCTGCCCACCCATCTGGGCTCAGAGTGCACTGTGGCTTACTTTGAAGAGTCCCTTGAGCATGATGTCAATGATTTTGTACTGCTGGTTGATGTCATTGAGCTCAATCAAGTTCTTCAGAGCATTCATCTGGTCCTTGCGCTTCACCTCAAACAGCTTCTTATCTGCACCACTGTCAAGGGTACTGTTGACAACTCTCCCACCACACTGCTGCTCTCCCCCCCTTCCACAGGGCCCCTGGCACCATCTCACGCCCCCCAGTTCTCCATGAGGTGTCTGAGGGGCAGAACCTGAGCCAGGATAAAACAGAGATTTCCAGTGAACCCCTTGCCCAAACACCCCAGCAGGGCCCTTAACAATGCTGAGACCTTGTGGGGAGCTTTCTACTTGCCAGTCTCTGCTCTGGCTGATGGGCTGGAGGAGGAACATCAACTGCCACCTTCCCCATGGGTCTCCACATATTCATTTTTTCATACTTTGCCTGTTCACCAGGAGATGTGTGCTAAGAAGGGCTTGCATTAGCTCACCTCCTCACAGGCAAAAAGTGCCTGTGGCACAGAGGAGACTAAAGTGCCACAAGCAGAAGAATCCTCTTCCACCATCCCAGTTGGTGACCCCAAAGCACTGAGATGTGCAGGTGTGTTCTGCCTTCTGGCTGACCATGCCACTTCCAAGAGCAGACTGGAAATGTGCACAGCAGAGCAGAAAGAACACCAAGCATCACTGCCATTTCTGTTCCTGCACCAAGCCAGGCACTTGGTTAGCAAGCCCAGGAGCTTGGCTAAAGCCCAACTATAGAAGGACAAAGCAGCAATTTCCCAGTGCTTCTGGATCCTCTCTTTTCCACTTCCTTGTGCCCCTTTCCATGGTCTCTGACCCCTTCCCTGTGCATGTGCTCCCTCCAGCCTCTGTAGCCACTAGTGCATACGTGATCACGGGTGGCAGGCTGCAGAGGATACAGATTTCCAAGCCAGAGTCTACTCTCTGTTTCTCCAGGTCTGTGAAGCTGCCCTGGGACAGCAGCAAGGCCAGTAGAAAGGGGCAGATGATGAGAAAATCCATGATGGCCTTTGCAGCCTGGAAGAAAACAGACCAACAAAACCAATGATCAGTGAGGAGACTTAGCAAAATGAGAAGTCACACAAGCCACCTGGAACTGATGGCACACTGCTCTTTGCACCAGGGTCCTTGCCCACGTCTCCCTTGTCCCCATGAGGGATCCAGTGGCCAGAGCAGAGCCACATGGTGATGCTGCAGCCAGCTTGCTCTTCCCTGCAAGTGAAGCCCTGGTCTCCCTCTTCTCTCTACCTGCCTGCACTGCCAGCCCCAGGCATCTGACCCAGCACTGACCCAATAGAAAATTTAGGTCCTACCCCTTCTTCCAAAAATAACAGCTAGGTTTTTGCTAGGTTTGTGACGCAGAGCAGCCCAACAACCACAACAGGAGGTCTGGAAGGAAGAGAAGGATCACTGAGGGGTTGAAGTCCATCTCTCCTTCAAGTCCCAGTGCAACCAGTTCAGTGACCTCCACTCAGCACTTGGGGTATTGGTACCTGGACTCTTTCCTTCACTACAAGCTGGGTGCCACTTGCGGGTCTCACACCAAAAAGCAACAGTTAGGTGACCTGGTGGTAACCTCCCACCCCTTCCAAACAAGTCCCTTCCCAGGCAGCATCTGAGGCTTTGCAGGGATGCTCTTGGGCAGAACTGCTCCTGACCACAAAGGTCCCTCAGACAAAGTCAATGGCTGGAGGAAAAGGTCCTTGAAAATGAGGATCCTCTTGGACAGTCTATACCTGGAAAAGGAGAGCAACAGCTCAGTCCCCAGGCAGCAGAACTCGGGGTGGTCTGTCCTCAGGCACAAGGTTTTCATGGAGCTGAGCACAGGCCACTGGCAATTACAGAAGCAACAGCTCCTTCAGAGGCATCTGAGCCACCTCCTGCCCCCAAAGGAAAAGCAGATGTGTAATGCCACCAGAGCTGAGCTCACCCTATGACCAACTGAGTCCAAGTTTGCCTGCCCAAACCTGTCTCTGTAATGCCCTAACACCAAAACAAAACCAAATCCCTTCTTGTTCTTTTCTTGTTGCTTTTCTTTTTTTAAACAAGTACAATTTCAACTCCAAGCCCATGAAAGAGGCAAAGCAGGCACCAGCAGTTCTGCTAGCCCTACAAGGATCAGCAGCAGCTCCCACCATGTACCTCCTGCCGAGGCCAAGCCAAGCATCTTCACACCCCTGGCAAAGGCAGGAGAACAGTGTCAGACAAACGTGAGAAATCCTATGAAATATTTTGCTGTTGTGCTTTGGAACAGACCAGAGTAAATACAACCAGCATTATTGATGAAGACATGGCTGCCCCTGGTGTGGGCTCAGCAATGTGCCCCATGATTCTGTTCTGACACAGTGCAGAGCCAGGACAGCAGCACAAATCCCCATGCCAAGTTTGGGGTCTGTCCCCTTCTCTCACTGTGGTGTGAGGCTTAAGCCATATTCCAGCCATCCTGAATGCCACAAAGCACACCAACAAGCCAAGGCTGTAAAGAAAATTCTCTAGCCCAGGCAAACAGATGTTCTGTTGGACCTACCAGCCTGGTCAGCTTCCAAGAGACTGCTTCACCCTGCCAAAAACCATGACCCAAGGACCCAGGGCCTGGTTCAGTGAGGTGGCACAGGTCTCTGCTCTGCAGAGCACCCCAGCTGCTCACTACCTCCCAGGCTCTCAGGGAGGAGGAAGTGCAGGAATGCAAAAGCACAAGGAGCAACTCCCCTGGGATGAGGCTCTTCTTTGCCCCTCGGATCACACATACCATCATAAGGATTGGCTGGCTATTTGCCATGCTCATGGAGAACTGGAAATAGCCAGTGGCCTCCCAACCAGGTTGGAAGGCAAAGAGCAGAAACGTTGCCCACAACAGCTCTGCCATGCTGCCTGTGGCAGTCCCAGCATGCCTGGTTAGGACAGGGGCTTCAGTATCCCCCATTTCCAACACTGGAGTTGGGTGGCCATAGGATGTTCCACAGGTGCAAGAAGGGGGAAGATGAGCTGCAAAAAACCCTGTTCCAGGCAGCAGCAGAGCAAAGCACAGCTCTCGGCCGAAACAGCTGCCAACCAGGCGGCTGCTGCAGCACAAGGGCCACCAGCCTGCCTGGCTGCTTCCGAGTCTCGCAACAGTGATGGGCTTCTTCAGGGACACAACAGCAGATGCTGGGGCAGGGACAGTCAATGTATTCAGATCCTCCTACACCAGCCCTAAAGATTGTCCCATGGGACAGGTCAGAAGCAGAGGACTGGAGAACCACATCATATGGGAACCCCATCACCTTTTAATCTCATCTGATGGCACTCATTCTCACATCAGAGCTATTTATTTGCTATTGTCCATCAGGGCTGCAATATGCCGGTGAAAATGAAGCAGGGCCCAGTTGTTTCTCTCACCCACAAGGAACTCAGGGCTGCTGATGCCATGTGGGACCACCTCAGATTTCTTTCCTTTCACTGCCCTGGCAATTTCACCCCATTTTAACAGCAGACGACATTCCTTCCTCTCCAGGCCACACTATGTAACAGCAGAGATGGCAAAGCTCCTTGCAGATGTTCCTCCCCACAAACTCTCTCTCATGTCTTCACACCCGCTGAGGGATGAGATGAGACACAAACACTGCAGAGTTGCTTCTCTCTTCCCTCCCTGCTCCTCCCTCAATTGATTTCTGCCAGAGACAGCTCTGCCTGATGCTCCCAGAGCGGTCCAGGGAACCAGGGCCTGGCCTGATGCTACAGATGGAAAGGAGTTCCCACCAACATCACCTTGCAGCCCTGGCCAGCTGGCTGTTTCAGCAGCAAGCCCACCAGTCTGTCTCACTGTCTACCAACCTCTTAATTTAGATGTGTTTTTCCAAAGACATGACAACAGATGCTATGTAATAGATGGTTAGTACTTCCCATTAAAATGTTTTCAATTACTATATAAATTTTCCTGCAGGAGGCCCATCTGAACCAAGCATCCCTGAGATTTATTCACTTAATGAGCTTGCAAGGCAGAGCCACGCTGCAATGATGTGGTTCCCAGGAGAAACTTTTGCATGACTCCCCTACTTCCCCCTCTGCAGGTACTGAAACGTACGGGGAAAAGCATCATCCTTCACCAGGAGCGTGCTGTGGCAAAACAAGGAATGAAAACTCCCTGCCCCATTAATCCATTCCTGAGACACTCCTCCAACAACCAGATGAGGATAAATCTTTTGTTACAGGTGAACCAAAGCTTCAGAAGTGAAACACCTCTGCTCAGACTCCTCTAGGAGGACATACCTATATGGGGCTTACAGGACCAGCTGCTTCAGTTGAAACAGTACTGGCCATTTACACCTGCTCGTCTGCAAAGTCTCCCAACCACTAAGCCCAGAAGGTCGCGTACCACATGGTTTGGCAGCCCCGATTAGGAAATCGCGGCTGTGATTTCCAGCAGGAATGGGTCCATTCCAGCCCACCCTCGTGCCTCCCGTCGTGCCGGAGGGGTTCAAGAAGCACCCTGAGGGGCTCGGGCGGCCGCTGGCACAGGAGATGAGGATACTCCCGGCAAGCTCAGCTGAAGGTAAAGGCGATCACACAGGGACGGTGGAAAGGGGACTAGCCGAACCTACCCCGGCCGCGCTGCGGGAAACCCACCCGGAGCCGCGTCAAGTGGACGTAGCAGGCGGCACAGGGCAGGATGCGAACCCTCGAGGGGGACGGTCCGCTCCTCCCGCGGCTCCAGCGCGGGGCGAGCAGGTGGCGATGGCAGGCAGAGCCCGTCGGGCACAGCCCTTTAACCCAGGGTGCAGAGAGGCGCTCCGGGGCCGCACTACCCGCCCCGCTCATCGGCCATCCCGCCTGCCCCGGAGCGGGGGCCCCTCCCGGGTCTCGCTCGGGGAGCACCGGCCACCTCCGCCCCGTCCCCCGGTGCCCCGGGAGCGGCCCCAGGGCTGCTCCCGCCATTCCCTCCTGCCCCGCCACGGCCGGGCAGCTCGCCCCGCGGCCCCGCTGGGCTTCCCGGGGCGGGGATGGCTCCCGGGCGGCGCGGCCGGTCCCCCACCTGCGGGCCGGGTGCCGGTGCCGGTGCTCACGCCCGCCGCGCTGCCATGCTGCTGCTGCCACCGCCGCCTCCGCCGCTCCGCCCCGCCGTGTCACTTCCTGAGCCCCCGCCCCGCCCCGGCCACGCACCGGCACGCACTTGGAGGGTCTGGAGGCAACAGGACAGCGGCGGCCGGGGCTGCAGTCGAAGGGGTCACTCGTGTCCTGGAAGAAGCCTCCTCATCCCTACGAGACACTGCTTCCCCCGCGATCCTGGCTGAGCCCCCGCCGCCCCTTCCAGCCCAGAGCAAAGGGACCACCCTTCAGCCTCATGAACCAAGGGGAGTGAGCAGAGCACCTCTTCCACAGCATCCCTGTACGACATCGTTTCCCCAGGCAGGTCTGTATTTTGATAGATGACCGGCATCAACCAAGCCTTATCCCGCACAAAAGGGGAAACTGAGCCGTTCCAGTAACAGAACTTTTTAATTTCAACAAACCTTTTTCTCAAAATGAGCAACAAGTAACTTCCTTTGTCCAACTTCTCCCTACTACTCACTGGGAATGAATAGCAGGATGGGATCCAGGATGGGGTCTCCTGCTACGTTCTTGCTTTGTTCCTCTGCTCTTTGCACTGTATCTTCTCATTTCAATCTCCAATGTGTGAGAGGGACACTGCCACACTTCCCAGACATCTGTCATTGACGGCATGAGTGGAAACCAAAGGAAAGGCATGCACACTACGGGAATTCCCACATTTGACATATCACTGACAGGAAGTTTTCACTGCTAAACCAACCCTCCTCAAGCCATGGAGCCTCACTCCCAACATATGTGAGAAACATCTGTGTAGGTAAACGTGAAGAAAAGTCAAAGCTCCATTTTGACCAGCAGATTTTGTCTTCCATGTCCATGACTATCTTATTCATATAGCCCCACTGCTGCACTTCAAGTGCATCTAAAATCCTTCCTAACCACCAAAATTTGAAGGTTTCTTAATATATTAAATAAGTCAGAAATTAAAAGTAACTTAATTACTTTTGAATGTACAGAATGTTACAGAATGTAACAAAAACTCCCATCCAAATTCCTTCATCCCTGTACCGGAGAGGAACTTCATGGCCTCCACCAGGACAACTTTCCCTCTGAGTGTCCCACAACAGAGCAGTAATATCACATTGCGGGTAAGCATGCAGACAAGCTGCTCCTGACAGGACAAACACCTCATCCACCACGTACCCTACACATGGCTGATGATAGTGCCCTACAGTGAAGGAAGTCCCCACACCCACAGGAAATCACTGCCACACATCTGAGGAAATGAAGTGTGATGAAAACAGGAAGGCAAAAAAAAGTTTGAGAAAAAACCAAATACTGCATTAGGTTCCCTCTTTTTCCACAAGGCATCTGGGAGTGGCCTCTGCCTCCATTGCCAGAGAAGAGGATTTAGTTTGCAGTGGCAGACTCTAGGCCCAAACAGAATAAAATCTGGTAATTCCACTCAGTGGTTCCCAAATACTCTGTGCATTTGGAAAGTGCCTGAGTCATATTTGGGTTTCCACTACTTCATGGACATACAGGCACTAGGTGGCACGCAAACAGAGATTAACTCATTGCTCATCCTCCAGGGAAATCAGTACAGGGATTGTTACTGCTTTGAAGTCAGAGGCTCCCAAGCCTGCTACTCTTTCATCAGACCACCTCTGCTTTATAGATGAATGCAAGCCCAGCACACAGAGCCTTCTTTAATCCCAATTGTCTCCTCATTTCCAAGATGTCTTCTCAGATTAGGACATGATGAAGTCTTTCATCCCACAATTAGCCAAGTGTAGAGTTTTTCAATTTTGTTTCCCTTCAGCTGGAACAAGAGAAGGAGCAGCAAATTCAGTATCCCTTCTACCTCTTTTACACCTGCCACACACATTAGCTATCAAAGGATACACAATGTTCTGATGCTTTACACACATTGTACTCTGTCCCACGAGGCGATCCAGCAAAGTCTGAATGATCCCTGACTGTTCTGGCTCCACCTGGTAATGACTATTCTGAATCTGAGGGGTCAGAAAAAAATAATGATTTCCAGAACAACATCAAACTGTTGGCTTGTTCCTTCTACTCCCTCCCTCATCTCCACACAGACCAATGAGATCTTCAAATGCCAAAGCAAACACCTAGAGATTCCCTTCCTGTTTTCCTACGAGTCACTGCTCTCTTACCTGAGAAAGAAAGAGGTGAAGAGCATGAGACGTGGCCTCAGGCAGCTCTGCTATGTTGGCTTCTGCTGCCTCCTGAATAATCTGGCTAATTTCTTTCTGAGAAATAATATTGCTGCTCTGATATCTCACAAACTTGAACAAAGGAAAAAATAGAGACATTAAACAGTAGAAGACCCACAGAGCGCAACAGTGACTCATCACTTACAAAGACCTCTTCTGTGCACCATTACTGCAGCACCTTAACCACAGGCCTGATTTTTATACCACTTCTAATGGAACCAGTACAAGTATCTATATTGATGGTGCTCTGATTTATAGCCAGACTTATTTTGGTTGAAGCTGGGAAGGAACTAAAATAAATGAGGCAGCCTTTTAAAACTGAAATAACAGCAAATACTCACAGACCCATCTTATATTTGGAGGGGGAAGGTTCACTTTAATAATTCCTTCCTCTCATTCACTGCCATGAGGGCTATATCTTCAGTATTTCTGCTGGGTAGGATCACATTCCCCCTCTAGTCCACAGACCCCACATACAGCAGGGTAGAATATTGCATTAACTCCTTGCCCTGAAAAGTCAGGTCTGTAAGGTCAAGATGGGAGACAAGCTGCGATGCCAAGCAGCCAACTTGCTCCCTGACTGGTAACAGCAGTTGCATGTTCTCTGCAAGTTTCCCCTCTCCTCCCCAGGGATCCTAGATGATATAAATAAATGTTACCAATACCATAAGAACAGGAGGTGCTCACTAACAGCAGCCAGCTTCTGCAGGGTGTGGAAGTTCACTTGAAAGTATCACTATCAATATAGGGCAGGAATACAGTCCCAGGCAAAGCCACAGCAGTATCAGAGACTGTGCTGCATAGCAGGTTAACTACCAATAACCAACCCACGTGCGTTGTACCAACGTATCAGGAAAGATGGGGAACAGCCCACCCTTCTGCTGCTCACCAAAGTCATCATCCTGAGAACTTCTGGCTGCAGAAAAGACTTCTGGCCCCCACTGAGTAGTGTGAAGAGCAGGAACCGGTGCCATGGCTGTGAAGCAACATGCAGAGCTGGAAGAGAAGGAGAAGCCAATCAAAGACAGCTGAAAAACTGCCAAACTGACAGGCTGAACCCAGCTAAGGACAGTCTTCAATACTGACCCCAAGTTTTCTCTCCCAGACCCCACACTGTGAACCACTAAGGGGATATTTTGCACTGTTCTTACTTGCTTTTCCATCTGTCACTCTCTGGGCAAGAGTTCAGTCAAGAGGACAAAAGCTTAATAGCTTTTTAAAGCAGAAAATACATATTGTCCATCTTTGTGCTGGTACAGGAAGAGAAACCTTCTCCTGGGGTATATGTCATAAAACAGTGAGAGAGTATCTTTAGCCTGGGGTTTTAAAAATAATACCAGTTTCAATATGAGGACAACTCTCCTGACCTCAGTTTTTATTTAGCTGCAGAATACCCTTTGGGCAATGAAGAAAGCCCTATAACAGCAGCTGAACAAACTGAGGCTGGATCTGCATCAGACAGTGGACTATAGGGACCAGACAGGCTGATGCAGCAAGTAGAGAAAATGTTCTTACTAAAGAACATACACGATATCATAACATGTATTAGGTAAGACCATAAGGCTATGATAGCATGAAGTCTTTCACTGAATGCTTAAATTAAAACATTATTACCTTGTATTTATTACAGGTTAGGAGCATGAGATGGACAAATAAATCAGCTGATATAACTTGTTATACTATAGCAGCTCAGAGTGTTGAAAAGGTCTCTTTTCCACTGGCAGTCACATAACCTCCCTATTGCTACTACAAGAATCTTTTCTATAGGAAAACAACACTGAAAAATAATGTAAAATATTTTGGGGATATCTTTTATCTGGGGAAAATGAGAAAGGACCAGCACTGTGCATGAGCCTGCACATTTGAAAATATCTCTGGACAAAAAGAGGGTTTTAGAAAGCCTCAAGTGAGTTAACTCCTAGAGGCAGAGTCCAGGACAGACTCTTTCCAGTCTTCTTGCATTTTTAAGCCAAATAAAGCTATGACCGTCATTCTGCTTGGAATAAAGAGACTCTTGTTATTGCTGTTATGAACTTCAGCACCACAGCAGCCAAAGTGACAGGTTCAGCTGTTCCTGCAGCAGCATTTCATTAGTTTAATCCCAAATCAGCAGAGCCTCCCCATAACTTTCTTTTTTTTTTTTTTTAATTCAGCCTTTTAATAGCCTCCCTTCAGCTACTGGCTGTCATTCATCTGCAGTATTACATCTTTATCCAACCACTTCCTCTCTCCCACCAGTGTCCCTTTTGCCTGGTGTTCATTCACTCCATTCCCTTCTCTATTAGTGTTTAAACAACTGCAGCGAACAGGTCAGGGTACAGAGAACTCCCTGGTTTAAGAACAGAGCCAGCACTTGGACTTTGTTGCAGGGGGCTGACAATAAGCAGAAGGGTCTATTCTTCCCCTCCAACTGTACAACGCAGTCATATTATGTTATACTGAAAACATTGGTATATATTAGGTCTGACATGCACTCTGGAAACCAAGGTCTGAACTCAGCCCCTGAAATCCAGAATTTCCATCTTCCATTCCCCCTAAGGCTGCCTAGTATCCTGCTCTCCATTCCCTTCCTTCAAGGTCAAACAATGACCAAGACTGTCCTTTTGTAAGACACATCATATTCAGAGCCTCCCTCCCATATGCTTATGGTCTATAGGTTTGATACAATTGGCCTGAAGGTCAAAGACAATCCCTATACTCCTTCCATTCCCAAACCTTTCCCTCTCACAGGGTTGGAGAACTACTTTTTGCCTTTTGGAAAGCACCTTGGTGTCGAGAGCCAAAGTGAAGGTTCATGCCAGGCACTGTGATCTCATTCCCACAAAGCATAATATTAACTTTAGGCACTCAAATATTTTTTCTTGTTTGGCATAAACTGATTACACATTTTCTCTAGAGTGCTACTGGATAGAGAATAAAGAGCTCAAAATCCCTGCAGGAGGGGAACTAGGAGAAGAAAGAGCATGAAGACCTTACCAACATCCTGGTTCTTCACATACAGGTATTCCACTAAGGTTTCTAGGCAGGCAACCACTGCCTGAGAGAGCAGCAGGTCTTTCTGGAACAGCAAGAAAAAAAAGTTAACAGCTATTGCAAGAGGAAATTTCATGAAGTGCCAGGATCAGAAGAGTATGCAGCACAGGAAAATAACACCTTTCATCTCCTTCAAGGAATGCAGTGTGCTGCAAATTATCTGTCACATCAAGAAGCCAGACAGAGATACGACTACTTCTTTTGAGACTAAAAATAGTAAGTAACAGCCTCCAAAGAATAAAGATAGGAGCCCAACACAGCTTAAGAGTTAAACAAACTCATGTACTACCCCTGAAGCATCACTTGAGCAAGTTAAAGGTATGCTAATGCACTCACTACCCCCAAAAGCACCTTGTCAGGGGCATGGGGGATGGACTGGGATTTGTTATACATTTCCCACATCTGTCCCTATGGATGTGGCATCCCTGCAGAGAAAGAGATGGGAAGACAGAAATTGTCATTAGTACACAGAATTTCAGCTACCCAGTTGAGCAGCAGGGAGCACCGCATAGCTTGATTTACCTTCTTTCTCACTGCGCTGTGCTGCAGCAAGAGCATTTTCCCTCCTCCTCATCACAGGTCTGTAAGGGGTGGAAAATGCAGGGAGAAGAAAAAAAAGCAGGCAGCCCCTTTGATTCTGCAGCAGGGTGGTTTCTCCTCAGGTTAATGTTCCTGCTTGAAGCCCAACACTACTGCTTTTTCAAAAGTCATATTTTATATACCTGCAACTGGACATGCACCAGAAGGTTCTGCAGACTGACAACAAGAGAGAAGACCTGCTGCATGGCAAGGGGGTGCAAGGCACTGTCCTGTAGTGATGATGGCTGTGGTTGAGTAGCACTTGGGGCTGTGTTTTGGCCAGCAATCACCAGCAGGGAGGAGGAGAAGTTCTGTCGCAGAACAGCTCTCAGGAACTGCATGATGCTCACTAGACAGGGAGATGCTTATTAGTGCGCGTCAGTGTTTTTCTCTGCTCTACCTTGTGTGTTGGTGCCTGTACAATAGCATGGGAGAGGGTGATGAGACAAAATGTGAGCTTAATAGCCCACCAGAGTTGCCTGGCGGCTGCTAACAGCTGTAAAGAGGAATGGCAACATGAGTTTCTTTGTTCTCCTTCCTTGAGACACTAACACAGTTCACAGTCAGTTCCAGATGTCACTACCAACCTCCAAAGATCTGTCCAAACACAGAAGAATTACAGAACTTCCCCTTTGTCCCTTCTCACCACCAGTTACACATTTACAAAGTCTTATGTACCAAAGTTTCCAGATTACCTCCAGCACCCCCACCATCCCAATCCACAGTCACCAGTTCTCCCTTATTGCTTGTATCATGGTACTAGTGGCTGTTTCCAGACTAATCCCCCTAACAGATGCAAAATACCTAACAGCAGGACTGGCTTCTTATTCCTGAAGATGACTGCATTCAGGACTTCTGTAAGGTCTACAGAGAGGGTCTGGTGAACCTAGAAGAGAATTAAATAGAAGAGAAAAAGTGGTGCAGGTTTGGAGCAGCTAGGAAGCTCCATTATGTACTTCTAGTTCTTAGACAGAACCCTATGATGACCCCTGAAGACCAAGGGAACAGCAACAGGGTTTCAGGAGGCTGACACAGAAGGGAGAGTTACATCATTGGACCCTTATGTTTCACTCACCACTAGCCTGAGCTGCACAGCTTCCAACCACAGTCTTGTTCTCACTACTCCCTGCAGGACCTCTGGCATGTGGCTGCCAGCCTGCCAAGCATATGAAATGGCAGAAACAGCCACCACCAGGGTGGCTCTATCTTAGCCACAGAGCCAGGCAGCAAGACTGAGGAGCCAGGCAGTCAAAAACCAGCAGTGGCCAGAAGCTGCCCTTGTCTGCTGGAGTTAGGGCCTGCCAAGAGCCCAGGGATAGGAACTATTGCATGGGTGAAACTGGCAGAGGAGTTTAGGGACTTGGGAACTAAGTGAAATAGGAAAGGTCAGCTTGAGAGGGAAATCTGCAATACATTGTTTCCTTCAAAGAACAGCCATTCAAGAGCAAGGGCATGAAGCCTCAGAGAACACCAGAAGGGTCTGAACTCCTCAACAGGACAGAGAGTTGATATAGGAAGGCAGGCATAAGGATCACAGGGCTGATTCCTTTAAATACTCTTTGAAGAGAGAAATATTCCACAGAGAACTACGAGTAGCTCCTGCAACATGGTGGCAGTGGCTACTCATCTTAGAACAGACAAGCCAAAGCATCTAATAGCCTGCCATCCATGAGCCCTGTTTATTCACAGGGTAAAGCCAGCAGTAACACAGTTAAAATGTAAGTTGGCTATGGCCAGACAAATCCTCACTATTAACATCAGCCTGAGATTAATGTGGCCGTTTCTTGAAGCCACTGCTCTCCTCTAAAAAACTGCAGGCTCAGGGAGACAGCCCGTCATCAGCTCACATTCACAGCCACAAAGTTGCTCTTATGAGAGTCTCCAGGATACTTTGTTCAGCTCTAGCTACACTGAACAGCAGAAAGAAGCAAAAGTGACTCTTCTGCTTCTTCCCCTTCAGCAAAATATTAGAAACACTGACAATTAGAAATGCTGAAGATTAGAAACATTGAAGTAGTCTTGAACCATTTCCACTTCCCAGCTGTATCTGCAGTTTCTGTCCTCATCTCTGATGCAAAAACATTTCTGAGTTATATATCATAGCACATCAAGCCAGTGGTATTGATAAAACCAAGCAACAGGCTTATAAGCTGCTAAATGATTGTACTGCAAGGATCAATACTTGACATTTGACACTAAAACGTCATTTGGGACTGGCACAGCACCAGACACAGCCCTGACTGAGAAAATGAGAAGGCAGGCTGTACTTAGCAGCTCACAGAGCAGGACCAGGCTGCATTCCCACAGCTGACAGTCTGTACAAGTATCATGCTCTAAGTCCTTAGCAGAGGTTGCGGGCTGACAAAGTAATGGGTGAAGACTTGGTCTGGGCTGGTCTTCTGGAATAATCTTCCCTAAGCATTAGAAATCCAACTCTTGCTTTTCTGTGCACATGCATCCATGTCCTTAATGTGATTTTATCATCTGTAAACAGCTGTACCAACTCCCAGACAGCATACTCTGCTGGGCATAACTGCAATAGCAGAGCTCACAACTCATGACATCCTCTCTGATATTTCCAGAGATATTTCCAAATGTGCAGAGCCAATCATAACTCCATATCAAGAGAGGTCTGGGTAGATACTTCAAAAGGAAATATTTTCCTTTGCATTGGCATTGGAAAATGCTTCCTTCAAAGTTGTAATTCCATTAATAGCTGACAACTCCAGCTTAGATGTCTTATTAGACTGTAAAGCATCAAATACAATGACAGCTGCCCACATTCGTAAGAGCTTGCTAATATTGAACACTTACTTGCCAATAATAGGTTCTATTCCACTATTGATCATTTTAGTAACAAAAAAAGCTGTTACAACATGGGAGTTGTGCCTTTCACCCCCAGTCTTCCCTTGAAAAAGGTTTTAATATGTATTTTGCCCTGTCCTGAACAGGAAAGTGGTTTGGATCAGTGAGGCTGGGTATGCACTTCTTCCTACAGGATTTGCACCCCTCTAACTCTTGAATGATTTGTGTCTCAGACCTTCAGGGACATGCTAGCTTCCAGTCCTGCTGGAGAGGTGCAGCAGGGAATAACATGCGGACAATAACAAAAGAAAAATCAACACAATCAGATTACAGGCCAAAGCAAAACACTTTCATATATATATATATATGTATATATATAATTTATTTATTTTTAAGGTTTATCCATGTGCTGACTCTGAACACTAGAGTGGTCCTAACCTCAGTATTGTAGCGATGCTGATAAAGCAAAAGGGATGCCACCAACAGCCATCCAGAGCACAGCAAGGCATCCTCAGATGACAGGCAGGCAGGTCTGGAAGGAGAGGACCACAGCCAGGTGCATTCCAAAACCTTCTGCAGGAGTTCTAGCAAGGACACATTGGAGAGCAGCACAGCCGCTGCTGCATGAGAGAAACAATCAGAGAGGGTGATGGGATGGCACAGGTTAAACCAGCTTGACAAGCACAACAGAAGTGCAGAGCACATCCCTGCTTCAGCAAGATAGCCCAGCTGCCACAGCTCATCTGAATAAGGCTGTCCAGCTACTCATCTCCCAGAGCAGAAGCAACTGCTCAGCTAATCAGCTAACAACACAATAGGAAAGTCAGTTAGAGCTTTTCCCTAGTATTGTTTATTTTTTTTTTAACTATGACAATAGCAGAATATTTCAAGCTAGGCAGAAAAGGCCCATTGCTGTGTTTATGAATAAGAAAAATACAGTGATTCTGTTTTTCAGTAGCCAATTTTTGAATCATCAGAAGGCAACAAAACCAAACCAAACTCCTCAACCTAAAAAATCTTATCCAAAGTACAAAATGGTCTTTAATTAGAATGCTGTGTCTGGATGGGGAAACATCCACCTTATCTGCTAAGACAGTTAGAATACAGTCTGATTGTTAAGCTACAACCACACTGAATTTAACTTAGCAATCAATACAATCTTCCCTCACCTCTCTGTTGACTGCAAGGTGTTGTCTGATGAAGGCTCCAGTACAGAAAATTCAAGGATGGCTGCAGGAGGTCAGTGTCCCTTGGCGTGCATTTCCCACAGAGATTACAGACTGGAAACAGAAGAACAGGTGTAACAAGGACACCAACTTAACAGAGCACCTCAGCAAATGAAAGAAGCCACTCAGTGGGGAGGGAATTCAGACAAAGTGAAAATAAACAGAGCATGGCACAGACAAAGCTACAGTGTTTGCTTTAGAGAGGACAGTGCAGTGGAGGATGAGTACAGAAGCGGGGAGGGGAATTGAAGAAGATGTATTAGAGTGCATATATCACGTCAGGCAGTAATGAATCCAAGAGCAACAGACTTTCAGTTATCTGTTTCCACAATGAAAAAAACTGCAGTGTGAGTTATCTCTTTCCACAGTGGGAGTTTGATTCTAGTACTAGAGCAAGTATAAATAATGTGACTGTCTCTCGCATGGTGACCAAACTGGGGAAAGTCATGGAGAGCTGTGCTCCTCCATTCTCACCAACTTTGCTCACACTAGGAGTAAAATGTCATATTTGTTGTAACCACCAAACACTTACCAACAATGTTTAGTAAGAGTCAGGGAGGGAAACCCAGGACTGCAGGGCTCAGTAAAACTGCCATCAGAGATCTTTTGGAGAACTTACAATTTGAGTAAGCAATTCTCAAAAAACATGCACCATGCCCTTCCATCTAAGAAGCTTCATTAGAGAAGAGTGTCTTGCACATCCACCCCTCGAGAACACAGTCTGGAGGCCAAGGGGTGAATAAACAGGGTGGCTGAGGTAGGGAGAGAGTTGTGTGGAAAAATACAAAGCAGAAAGCAAGAGCAAAGAGGCTTGTGACTCCTGGGAGAAGCTGAGCTGTGTTCTAAAATCATAGCAGCTAAAAAGGCTGACATCGAGAGGGCGTGGTTCTTCCACACCGCCAGATCCCACAGCTGACGAATGTCTGAGAAACGCTGCTTCTTTACAAGGGCAACACAGGCAAACCTGAGGTATGAAACATTTCAAACTGAAGAGGATAGTCCTTCAAAGTCTGCTGGAGAAACCAATTTGTCAGAGCAGGGAAGAGATGAGAGGATGGATCAGCTGAATTTTCCTCCTAGTATCTATTCTTTTTTCACAGCCTATATGAACCTCCAATAGCCAAGTAAGAAGGCAGAAGTCACCAAGTAAGGATTGCCAGACAAGGTAGCAGGTTATGGTATGGTAAACAAACACAGCCTACTCTTCTGTCTTTGGGATGGAGTGGGCAAGCCCTGCAGATGGTTGGGGGCCATATACTCTGGATTCACATTCCAAGGAAAGCCCATTTTCACTAGACTGCTGTTTCCTGATAGCTGATTAACAGAACAAGACTGTGGCCTCAATCCCACAAGACTGTTATAGCAAGAATGGACAGGAAAGGGTGATTCAGGAAGCACACCAGCCATGCAGTCATGTGCCAAACCAACAACAGTCACTGACCCTGAAATCATGTCATGGTCAGGGGAATACTTCGGCCACCTTGTGAGGTTTCAGACAAAAAAAAAAAAAAAGGCATTGTAAAGGCAAGAGGAAGAGAACCTGGGTCTTGTTAACTGAATTAGTTACCACAACTCTTTACAAGGCTCTGGCTATGAAAGCACCTCAAAGCAAACATTAATATAATGCAAGGTCAATTTTCTCTCAAAAGACAAAGAGCAAACCCCTAATCCTATTATGGAAAAATTAACAAATACTTCCCTGGGAGAAGATGGATGCACATACTCACCCTGGTGAAGCAGCTTGAAGTCTGTGCTGTCCAGCTCCCTTATGCCCTTGCTTCGCAGCTGCACCAGGAAAAGAAGGCTCAGCAAAATAGGCAGGTTCCTGTTAGCTAAGAAGGGCACAGACAGCTCAGCTTGTCAGTGAACTCCAAACTGTTGTACCTTAAAGCGTGCCAGGAATTGTTAATTTTCTGGCTCCAGAATAAGGACACACACATAGAGCCCCAACTTCATTCTCATCTCTACAGTCCCCTCTGGATCAGGTACCCTTTCTGTCACTCTGGCTTGGCCTGAGTCACATCTGAATCATGCCAACACCATTTTAGGAGCAACTAAAGAAGGGGGGGAAAAAAGGCTAGGGTCATTCACACCCATCATGAGCTATGCAGTTAGCATGTTCCTTACACTTTGAAAATGATACTGCTAATAAACTAGAAGTCATTAGCCCTTTCTAGACAGCTCCCTTCCTGCCCACTTGATCATCATTGCTACACTTTTGACAGCAGCCCAGCTGCACAGCATTTGTTCTCTTCCATCTTGTGAGACTGGAAAAATTCCATTCATTCTATCATACAAGGAAGGGCAGAGACAGAAGTGAGAACCCCACACAGCAGGTCTGTATATAAGGAAAATGGGGCTACCTAGACCACCAACACTCCAGGGCAATCCTCTCCGTACTATTCACTTTTTTGCAGTGCTGTAAAGGGTTAAAGATTTTGTATTGTATACAGCCATACCTACAGCAAGCAACTATCCATTGCTCCAGTGAACATTTTCACAAAGGCTCTAAAGTCTTCACTTTTGAGGAGGAAACATTTATGGGTGTCTTTAATGTTAACATATTCCTGATGGAGTCCCACTGTTGGGCCTCTTTCTTGTCTAAAATTAGGCTACTGTTTGAATAGGGATGCAGGACTGGACTTAACTACCCTAGGCCTCACAGAGAGCTGTCTGTGTGCTGGGAGAAAAGAAAGTCTGTCTCCAGAGTACATCTGGTGTTTGACTTTCTGGATGGGTTGCCAGGATATCACTTAACAAGTTCAAGATGCAATACAAAGAAGAGCTATGTGTATTAGCAGCAGCAGAAGGGCTGAAATCTTGCAAAAGCTCCTATAGCTCAGTGTCCTACCTCCATCACCAGTGAGTGATTTGGAGGAATACATCTGACTCCCTACAGGAAATGGATACTTTGCTTCCCCACAGTTCCTGGCACCCCTAGATCAGCAGCAAAAGGACACTCAAGTTCAAATGTGCACAACTCCAAACAAGATCAGATCTAGCAGATCTTGTAGCCGCATGCTCTACCATGCTCCTGCTTTCAATGCCCCTCCTCCAGCCTACTGACTTTGCTGGAGGTAAGGCAAAAACACTTTCCTGCTTGTTATCTCCATCCCAACTGCTGCACAAAAAAACACTTGAAACATAGCAAAGCTGTTAAAAGCATCAGTGGCCCCCTCAGGAACAAGTAGAAGTTGTGCTAACTCCCAATCCTAAAGGAGCCAAGGACATCCTAGTGCTGCTCCCTCTTTCAGTTCAAGCTCACAGACTGGTTTGCATAGCACCTTTCTCAGTGGGACAACAGTTCCAACAGATGGGTTAGTAAAGAAAAGAGGGATTTCCCCAGTCACAGCCTTGCTCCCTTTGAGAGATTTAACAGAGTTATAAGATCTGGTGATACCACAGTCCCTGTTTGGGGATCAATATAATGAATCATTCAATCCTTGCTCCTGGTTTCTGTGTCCTGGGAACTGTGTATACTCAGGCACATCCAGCTGTTTCACACAAAGAAGAGGCAAAAAGGAGGACATCTTTCAGCCACCACTTGGGCCCCTATTTAAGCAGGAAGATTTACCAGCACAGATCTCCATTTCAACACTGACATCAGTATACAAGAACCTTGCCTTGGTTTAGAAATCACAGTTTGAATCCAGAAAAACCTGAATGAGAAAAAAGGCTCTCACTTCAAAATGAATCTCTGAAAAAGGGAACTAAATTAGTACAGTTCTGTCCATAAATTTCCTTATGCAGGTAAGTACTGAAGCTACATCAGCAGTCCAAAACCACTTTATCCCAGACTGTGTCCCTACAGCTAGTTGATCTAACAGCAAGACCAAGTCAGAGAGGTGAGGTCACCTTGTAGGGTGGCTGAGCTGCTCTCTACCAGAAGCTGCTGCAGAATCTGTAAAAATCGGCTCCGAAGCAGATCACAGACAAGGACATCCTCATTTCTTTCCAGAAAGGTCCTTAGAGTCATCAACACCTTCCAAGCCACTTCCACAGAGCTTGAGCAGACCAGGTCCTGCACAGGAAGAAACAAACACATTACCTTTCTACCCAGATTAGGCAGAAGCCACCACTATTTAATACCATTATGCTAATCTGGTGCCTTGGGAAACAGCCTAATAAAGCACTATTAAGTATGTCCTCATTAAATAGAGAACTGAATAAAGCAGAAGGACTCATGTCTGTTAGGCACCTCTGAGTAAAATCCCATTTAAAGAATGATTTGGCTCTGTAAGTGTAAGGGTAATATACATTTAAGGTCACAGTTTTAGACAAGGGAGACCTAAACAAGAGAACAGAATCTCTGGCACCTCTGCTCTCCTTGTTTTTTGAAAAATCAGCTTGCATATTAAAGATGCTTGTTTAAAATCAAGCTTATGAGTCAGTTCATAGTTCCTAACTTTCAAAAGGCTGGCAACCTTGTATATGCAGTAGTAACATAACTAAACTGCATGAAACATATATAAGCTAGGCAAGCAATCCATCACAGGAAGGGGAGAGTCATGTAGAAAGTTCACAAGCCTGCCGCTTGACTACAGGGCTCTGTCTGGAGCCTCTGAGCTGAATCCCAAGCCAGTAGGCTTAACTTGGGCATAGTCTTCATGTTGAGGTACATAACATTAAATTCACTTGCACAGCACGTACAGGAGGCAGTTGTATAAATATCAGACAGAAAATGCCTGGTAGTGCTGATATAATATGACCATCTCAACACATATTAGGTCAGCACGACCTTTCTTCTCTTCCAGCAGTAGTCCTGGCTACTGCATTGCAGCGGTAGAGTTGAAGAGGTAAACAGGAAACTGGTCACAGCAACTGAGCCTACAGCCTGCCTGGACAGCTTGTTGCCTCTCCCAGCTGCCTTCCCCTGTCACACAGTAGTAATGCATCCAGATGCCCATGATGCAGAGAAAATGGCTGTGGGACCCCATACCCAAGGACAGCAAATAAGCTAAGAACAGGCTGGCTGTGCCAGAAAAAGCTCTAGTTCTGAGCTGAATTCCTGCCTCTAGCAGAGACTTTCATAAAGGGCAGGGAGATGTCTGCACAATCATCTCTGCTATCTCTGCTGACATAGATCTGCTTCATATGACATTCAGGATTGTAAACTAACGTCTCTGTTCTCTGAGAGAGCACCTCAGACCTGGAACATGGAGAAGACAAGTCAGACAGCATGTCATCATGACTACATTCACATCCAGACAAACACACAGAGCACAAAATAACATGAACCTATGGCAACAGCCTTTCTGGTCCTGGCAAACGCACCACTGTGTTAATCAGTTCCTTCCTACCCAGAAGCTCAAGGTCTCAGATGAAGTCACTAACCATCTGTTATATCTAATCCAGGCAATTGTTTAAAACAGATAAGCAAAGAAGTCATCCTTGGAAGGACATTAATTTTTGTTTCACTGTACCATGCAGAGGCCCTTCCACTCCACTAGTGCATTCTGAGGCTTAGGTTATTCATCTCATAAGTTTTCTTTACATCTGACAGTATATTTAACCCTGCATATTGCACTGTTTTATTAGTCCATCTAAATTCAGATTGATTATACTCTTCCACAACTGAAAGGTGAACTGTCCAAGCCTGTGACTTATTACAACATAGACATCATTTAGTTTTTGTTACAACAGAGACATCATTTATGTGTTATTGACAGACCTGCTTCAGTTTATGGAGTGATAAGTTCAAGAACTACTGCCAAAGGTAGTAGTGTGGACAAGCCTCATGGGACACCTCACCTCCTTAATTTGTCCTGATTTGTAAACTCATTGCTCACTTTTACTAATGCTCTGCAGTGGTATCAAATGCCTGGATATTGTTACCTACTCTGCAATATCATCCCTACTGTGAAATAACTGCCCTATGTGAGAGTCCTCCTGGCAGTCATTTCAGTAACATCAGATACTGAAATTCAGCTATAGCCTCTTAGATCAGAGCAAACATGTTCTGTAATGCCCAACGGATACCCACTCAGAGTCAAGCCTTGCTTCCTCTTACTTTACCATCTGCTGACACGGGTTTGCCTTCCCAATGGCAGTTAGTTTTAATTTCTCTAACAGACTGGAGGAAAATACCACAGCTCTTAGCTTTTGCCCTTACAGGGAAGTCTCATGTTCCTCTGTGGAAAAGTTAGCAATTATTTACTATGTGACTGGCTCAACAGTCATGGGACAAGAGGCCACTGATGGGGAGGGGTGATGGGAAGGTGAGAACAGTGGAAGTGAGAAAAGGCCTCTAAGCAGCCATCAGGACACGACTGTGTCATGATTACATGGGCTAACAGAGCTCATTACACCAGCTAAAGGCAAACACACTTGCCTGCTACTTCAAGGCCCCTTTCTCTCCTGCACTGATTAGTTTTCCCTGTCACAAGACTTTTATTTTATCTTTTAAGAGCAATAAAACATGTTATTTGCAGTCCTGAAAACTCAAGAATACTTCAAAATTCTCTGACAAGAGTCTCCAGTTAAAATGAGACAAAATGAAAACCTCAAACAAACAGAAAGCTGTGCCCTCAAGATCTGTTCTCTGCACACTGCTTTTTCAAAGTTCTTGTTCATTATACCCTTCTCATCTGTGAGTAGCAAAGCTTTGCTCTCCAATTTGCAAAACAGCTTCTTCAAAGGCTGGCACTGAAGAATCTGAAGTACCCAGCTGTGTATCTGGATAGAGGAAGGAATAGGATTTTTCATTACATATACATCAGCATAACTCTTCAGATGCCTGTCCAGCCAACTCTCAGAGGATCCCTTCCTGTCACAGTAGATGGACAACAGAGAAAGAGATAACACACCTACAAGGTCCTATTTTCCACATAAGGCTTTCCAGGCAGGTAAAAGTCTGTGTATACACACATGGCCCCTTCTATCAAAACCCTTGGTTTTGTAACATCACTGAAAGCTTTAAGAACCAAAAAGCCCCCAGAATCAGGGCCAAGATAGCAGCCTGTCCTTGTGAAAGCCACATACCAGTAAAATAAGCAAAATGCTGGTATTGCTCTTCAGAATGGGAAGCAATGGGTTAGCACTGGTCAGTTGATCAGATGAGCCAAAATCAGCTTCTTCAACCTCAGTCTGCTTGCAGTCTTCCCAGGAAAACCAGAGTTGGAGGACTTGGTGTCCACATTTCCCCATGAGTTCAGGGTAGTGCAGGAAGAATTTCAGCAGGAGAGGACAATGGACATAGACCAAGCTCAGATCTGGAAGATTATCCAGGATCCTTCTTATGGTAGACAAAGACCTCTGATAAGAAGGAAAGGGGAAGTGAGACAGAGAACAAAATAATCACTAATACTGAATATAAAACACCTGAAGTGATGAGACTTTATTGCAAGAAACAGTCATACTGCCTTTTCAGCAGACAATCAAACACATCAGCTAAACATCATTTTGTGAAGCCCATTTGCATCACAAAGACAGAAACCTGTAGGCTTTAAACAGAGCTCAAAGCTGTGCAGCAGCAAAAAGCCATATGGGAACACTAGAAAGCTTGCTGCAGAGGCTGGAGATGTGTTTGGGAGACTGAGCTATGAAATTTATTATATTCTGTATGTGAATTCATAGCCTATCCAACGCAGTTACACTTCCCACACATGCACAAGTTTATTCTGTCAAATCTATATTCCCCTTTGGATTTTCATAGTTAACTTTCCAGAGTGTAGAGGCACTGCACAGCCTTCACTCATTCACTGCTCACCACTTATGCCAAAATACTTTCTATAAGAAGGTTGATGCGAGTGGGGAGAAACCTTTGTCTCAACAAAAAGGCTCCAACAGGTCGGAATGAAATCTTTTACCATATCCAGGGCTTTGTCTTTGTCCTGACAGACAGCAAGGAGGTAAAGTGCAGCTCTGAGTATGTGTGGAGGGGGACAGTCTCCATGATCCTGTGCTGATAGGAGAAAATTTCTTACAGCTAGAAATAATTCTGCATCTGGAACAAACCTGCATTGAAGGAGATTGGAGTGGAAACAGTAACAACAGATATGTTTTACCCATCAATACATGGTTTATAATGGCCACTTGCTTTGTATAGTCTTGGCTCACCTATCCCCGAAGGTGTAGGCGAAGTATAAGAGTAGTAGGAAACAGTGCTGGTGGCTGCAGAGAGACTGATCCAAAAAGAATGGCTCAGGGGTTTCAGACAGGAGAAGAAGGCTTTCAGCAATGGTGTAGTTTAACTGAGGCAGACCCTTCTGCAGGAGCTCAGACATCTCCTGCTCTAGAAATAAAAATATAAGCAGGCAGGATATGATCAGAAATGTCTATGGAACAACTCCACAGTCTGCATACACCAAGCACACCTCTATGACTTGGCATCAGTAGCAGTGTGCAACCTGATTTAACAGAGCTGGCTTTAAGGATGAAAAGACACTTCTGTTTGAGATTCTGAGCCCTTTGCTGATGCTGTCTGTATGGTGACCAACCACTGCTAATGGGAAAAGTGGCTTTTCTGATGCAGAAACTTTAATCTCATTTCTTTGGGACATATCAATTATGCAAAGTTACAGTATAGACAGGAAAGCTTTATAGAGTACACCAGAGGGAAAAATTACTTTAATCTGCAGATATGCCATTTCACTGTGGCAAGTAATTTTGTTTCAATTAAGCATGCACAGCTGTGTGAATAAATATCCCCATGTAAACAAAACCATAGGCAGATGAAATGCATTCCTTCAGGTAGGGTTCCAAACTCCCCAAAAGGTATTTTCTGAGTGTTTTCTGTGCTGACCAGCTTAAAAATAAGCTGGAGAAAAAAATATCTCTGTCAAACTATGTGTGTCCCCCCTTCCCTTCTCCTTTGTCCTTTTCTAATTCTTTTTTCCACCTGTTGCCTGAACAGAAGGCGGCCGTGCCTCAAACTAAATTAAACAATCTTTCTATTTCCCCAAACTTGCCCTCCTGAGAAGAAGTTCTCGTCTTCTCTGTGGCTGAGTAAAGGTTCAGGCATAAGTTGCAGAGGAAGCTGGAACAGGTGTGATTCAGGACAGGATTACTGTGAAGAAGAGCAGAAACATACAGTAAAGGAGGCTAGAAATATTCTCTTCCTACTTCTTATATCTGCCAGAACACACAGTCTGCCAGAACCTCATTTTACTGAATGATCACATACAAGAACCTGCCCCATCACAAGAAGACTCCAGGAGCCAACCTAGGCTTCCAGGAAAATGATGAGTTCCCAATGGACTGTTGGCTCACAGATGTGGTGGGTGTGTGCAGAAACAACACTGAACACGTTCATACCTTGGGCTAACGTCAATACAGTGAATTACTCTCACAACCATCACACCTTGTCTACACTGCGAGACCTGCAAGAACAGGACCCCTAACACTGCAGAGAATGGGAGGTGTTTAAGGGTAGCTTACCATACACGATTCCACTGGCAAACAACACTTAGATTTTTTAGCAATGACATTGCCAGGGGTGAACACTGAAGAATGCCAAAATACTAACTAAAAGAGTGAAAACAGCTATTTCCAGGTATTTCCCTCTCTCCAACCATTTCCTTGCAGAACAGGACATAAGCAGACATCTGTAACACACCATCCTTGGCGCAACATAGTGCTCTATTCAGAAACCTAAACCACTCCCACCACACACCATTCACAGGTAAAAATCCCCCACTCAAAGTTCCACACTAGTAAACTGGACTAGGAGTGCTGTGTGTTTTGTTTACTTTTTTAATGAGGTACAGTCACAAGAAAGAGGAGATATCTCTGCAGACCCTCAGAGAGTGTCCCCAAATACTCCTCAACCTAGAAATCATAGCCTCTACTACAGGAGATCTTTTGCAATGCCTTCTACTGAAGTTATCCTTGTTCCCCCCATTTCTAATATATTATCACACCATGAGGAACAACAGTGGTAGTAAATGCTTATGAAGCCAGAGCTCAGATGGAACTGATGCTACTGATACTTCTCTTCAGAACTCCCACTCATCTGACAACTGCCAAGTCAGGCTGCTTTATGTCTATCTGTGCAACACACAACAGAACACAGAATTCTCACAATGCTGTGTAAATCCATCCGTCCCCTACCAAACTGCTTCTCCCTTCTCCCATATCAAGCTCTTCCATTGTCAGTAACCATTTACATTTTTCAGTAAGACACAACCATTCTTGAGTCTTTCAGACTCTCGTCTTGCCTAATCAGGTGTATTAGATAAGGCATGATCTACTTTCCCATCTGGAAATTTTTGGCTCACTTAGAATGCACACATCACAATACCTCTGTACAGAGCAAAATCTGGCCTTGAGCTCCAGTGTCAGTCGGATGAAGGACGAAGATGCTAGACAGAAAGCAAGACAGATGTCAAAGGAACACAGAACATGTGTGGTAACAAAAGGAGTAGGCAGGTCCCATAACCACCCCCACACATCTCCATATAAGCCTGGTGAAGAGGGTAGGCCGCCTAAGTAAGAATACATATATTAGGCTGCCTCTCAGAAAGTAAACTACTCCAAGTTTGGGTGTGAGGAAAGTATCTGAGATTTATTTGTTTTCTCAGGAGAAGTGAGGATTTGCCCATTTCACATGTTTAGAACAGAGTAATTGGCTATATCACCTCTCTGATGTGTGAAGAATAAGGCATACATAGACTAAACTAGGATTTCTACATAGTAAAATCCCACCAACAATTCCAGCATAATCCCTGTCTACAGAAACAGCCAATTCAATTCTGAATTATTCCAGAGGAAAGGATAAAGCTGACACAACATTCTTATCCAAAATAAAACCTGTACCATCATCATTGCTAGACCAAATAACTTTTCCAGCCTGCTGAGCATGACTATGCACTCTACTCTTACTCATATAAACTTGTAATAGAATCCTCCACATAAGTCCAAATGTTAGGCTCATTGCCTCAGTAATATGCAGTAGCAGAAAGTTCTACCAGTTAAGACCACAGCGAACATGATTTCACAATACCCTCATACCCAGCTTCTTGGAGAACTTATTCCGCATGCTTGGCACCACTGCAAAGAGGGTATTGAGTGTCGAGATGAAAACCTCCGTCACTGACGGGCTGACAGCCCTTTCCAGATAGCTCTGTGGAAAGATGAATACATCAGGTGCACAAGTTGCTATAAACAATGAAGGCAGCAGCTTCCTTCCAGCCTCCTGCCTGCCCAGAAAGTCAGGTTTCTAAATCCAAACAAATGGAGTAGCAGTTCGTTTACCAAAATGCCTGGCAGCAGAGCAAGCTCACAGAGCACTTTGAATTCAACTAACACTCCCCCTGCTAGCACTATGAGCTGTGCTGGTAACTGCAAGACATCGTGCCAGACAAGAAACTTCTCCTGGATTCCAGCAGGCAACCAGTTAGGCCTTAATGCACAGTGATTGACACTAATGCCCACATTGCCCTGCAAGTTACTGCTTTTACAGGTCAGATGGCTAATTCTCCTATACAACACACGATATATGTTTAAGTGCAGCTGACTTTAGCAACACTTAACACCTGTGCTTCAGGGTTTCACTGCGCAGTGGCAAACACAGGCATTTGAGCTCCCTACAGAATCCAGCCCTGAACTGTTTAGAACAGAATGACTCACCTCACTCTTGTTGAAGGTCACTGGACAATTTTCTCACAGTCCATTAATTTTTACCCAAGTTCAATGAGTAAGAAACAGCACACTGACTCCAGCTTTGCCAAACTGGACATGCACTGCACCCTCCTGTCAGGGAGGAGAACAGCAGTGCCACTGCAGCTGCCTACCAAGAGATTGGTTAGGAAAACACCAACCAAAACATCTCCAGGCTCCTAACAACTGCAAGAATCCAACTGCACCTGTCACAAAGCACAGGCAAACTTTACTAAATCTTAGGAACCACAACAAAAGTCCCATTGTTTTGACAATTCTGCTTGAAGTGTCTTAGGGACAGACCTGTATGGAGCACTAAAGCACTCATGAGTCTCCACAGGTACTTTTTAAATCATGTCACAGGCCTTACTGAGGCACAATGCTTAATACTGCCCATGCAGACTGGGCAGCCTCATCAGTACCTTCTGGGAAGAAGCACAGAAACAAAATTGCAGGTGTAAACCATGGCAGCTCTCTGGGACACAGGCAAGTTTTGAAAAAGTGGCAGAAGGGGAAACAACAGTTCAGGCATTTTCACTTCATTTTCTGACACATCTGGAGCTGCAATGGATCCCACAGCACGGTAGGTAAGCTATGGAATTGCACAGTCGGAAGAAAGACACTGACATCCACATGGAAACTTTGTGAATTTCTGCCCCCTCTGAGCGTATACACTACCTTTTGCACAAAGTGTGTCATTTCATATTTGCTGGGGGAAAAGTGGCAAATGCCACAGTTGTTCTTGGTATACATGACACGCCCTCTTCCCCAAAAAACATTTGTGTAACCCACTCTCAGTGCTTGAAAGCACCTTTCCAGGTACCCATGCAACAGACCAAGTTAAAAGAAATCCTACCATGACCATGGGGATGCAGAGACTGTCACAAATCCTCAACAGGAACTCAGAAAAGTTGCTTAGTGTGTCTTTGCTCTCAGAGTTGGGGGCAGTGAAAGCATTCTCTTGGGCCATGAAGTCACCCTGGAACTCCACGGCTAACCTATAAACACACAGTGGATAACAGAGGAAAGATGAAACCTCCTCACTCTGTAAAGGAAGCCAGGAGATACTACATTTTAATCACAATTTTCACAATAAGGGACCCACAAACACTCAATCAGTTGGAAACACAGGAATTTGGCAACCACACTCAGTTACCTCTTGAGTGAAGCTATTACAAGTCATCAAGGTTGCACAACAGTACACATTGGGAAAGGAAGACTTCGTTTCTGTGAAGAAAGCACGTGCTGTGGGAAGCTCTGGTGTGGCAAGACTTGGTTTCAGCCATACCAGAGCGCCTGATGCACAGTACAGCAAACCTTGTGAAAATCTGCCAAGGGATCATTTAGCTGATATAAAATCCATGAGTGCCCTCAACACAACCCCAAGACTCTGGGTCAGTGCAGAAAGGCATGTCTGATTCTGACTGAATTATCTCAGCCAACTCAAGTAATGCAAGGCAAAACTGAATTTGACTAGAAAATCCTTAAACCTGATCCTGATTCATACTCAAACTCATCTACCACTGTCTGATGTGCAGCTAAGGATGCCAGATAGCTCTGATCCAGAAAAAGAGGTAAAGTTGGTGCCTATAAACCCACTTCCAGTAACAGGTCACAGACACAAGCAAATCCAAGGCCAGCATCTGGAGCAGATAGACATTTGTTAAATGGTTAAACCCCTCTGGCAGTGACACCACATAGCACAGCAATCTGGTTTCACACATACCTTCCAATAGTTCTTACATTATTGGCAGTTTTGGTGAACTTTCAAGCAGTCTCTCAAAGCCCTAAGTCATTAAATAAACTGATAGGTCCCTGACAAATTTCATAGAAGACATACCCAGGTGTCACAAAATGTTCACTATTAATACATACCCCTGCCTCTGCTGTTTCACTGACCAATGCTATGCACTGAACTCACCTGTGAAATTTCTGTGGTGGGACTGGGTGGAGGAACATAGTTGTAAGGACAGAAGAATGGACAGACATGGACACACAGCACCCACCCATACACCTTCCTGACTTGTCCTTACCTGCAAGCATTTCTGAAACTTTCCAGGGTATTGAGCAAGAACTGACCCTGTCTCTGAGGAGCTCTACCAAGATTTCTGTTTGCTGGGTGACTCTGAGACACTGAGAATAGGAGATCACCCTGTTAAAGGAGAGAAGTCTTAATTTTATGTCCCCTTTCAGAAAAAAATAGCTTTCTCCTTTGACCACCAGCAGCAGCAGGAACAACAGATTTTATTTCACTCCTTCACACAACCATTTTTTTACTACCATGCTTTCCCCAGAGAGGGCAGAGTAAAACAGCTTGTGTGCTCTTCCTAGGGAGGACAGAGCTATAGAGCCATTAATTCTGCAGTGCCCTGTCTTTAGAGTCTATATTACCATTATTTGATCTGAGTTTTAAGCATTTCAGTTAACAGAGCTTTAAATCCTTCTGAGAAAACTTCGTACTTTTAAAATTTTTTTCTTCCAAATACTCTTCAGACAACATAGAATAGTTCTTCTCCTTGCTTAGCAATAAATCTTAGAAGTTCTTCTACTTTGGCTCAGAGTTTTAAACAGCTATCACCCATGTACTAATTCTTGTTCCTACACAGCATCCCACTGAGTTAAATCTGAAGCCAACTGAAGCATCAGAGTTAATGATTTGCCCAAATTGGGAACGACTTGGAACTCAAAATCTGCCTTTAAGCCTTAACCTGTTGTGGTGGTCTTCTCTATAATAGCAGAGGAGAGCACAGCTACACATTGGTGCCTGGTGGTTCAGAACTCCTTCTCCATTTCATGCTGAGATACCTTGTCAGAGGTACCATCATTTCCCCTTTTCTCCCTTTAAACACAGCCTGCATATCCTCACTATCTAATTTCCTTCCTGTGAAGCTCCTAATTCTGAAAGGGACATCTAGCTCTAGCTCTAGCTCTGTGTGTGTGCAAACTGACTGGCCAACATCTGCCTATGGGACAGAAAGCACTTCTGCCTTCTTCAAGCAGAGAAGGCCAATATCTGGTAGCACAGAACTTGGATCTAAAATTAGTTCATCATGAATTTGGAGTTCTGCCACTCCTTTGAGAATTTAGGTGTTCTTCTCACTACGGGCATGCAATCCAAACCTACATGGCTCTAAGACTAGAGCAAGAAGGCTCAGCCCTTGTCTTTTCATTAGCCATCTGCACCTGGGGATCTTCCCAAAGTGCAGAGGTCCCAGCAGCACACCACACTAACTACAGATGCCAGGAACAGGAAAGGATTTCTAGTTCAAATAGTGGCTAACAACTCCCTTGCACTCTTGATCTGAATGTAGAACAAGAAATGTTCATTGCTGAAAAAATAGATTAACCAATGCAGCCTAAAAGTGGGGATAGGAAGAAAGGCAAGTTCAAATAACTTTGGAGTACTAGACACAAAGAGAGTAACATGCTCAAGTAGTGCCCCACAAAACTTCACTGATTTAGAAAGATATCATTCACCAGCATCCATCTTCATCTGCTTCAAAGTCTGGTACCATCTCAAGGCAAGAGGATCAAAAGAAGTAGCAGAAAACCAAACAGCAACTGGGATGTAACAAGGGGATGAAACATGTATAAAACATCCACATAGCGGCCTAGGAAGATCACCCCTGTCCTGCTCATTCCTACCAATAAGCAACAACTTTTGACTTACTGCATGCCTCTTACTACTCTGTGGTGGGGAAAGGTCAGCACATCGCTTCAGCACTGCCTCCAGAAGCTTCTGCAGTTCTTCATATGGGACTGGAGGGGAGCTCAGATGGTCCTTCCTTAACAAGTGAAGACAAAGACAAGATGCACAGTCCCTACAGGAGACATTCCACTAGAAGGACAACACCATCAGAAATAACTGCTATTCTGATGGAAATATGCCACTGCCACTTCTCTCCAGCAGAGCATAGTAAGGTCACAATATCTGAATAGCGCCTTCACCCACACATAAGCCCAAACACATCCTCAGTGCTCTATCTGCTCCCACTACAGTCAGGAAGCCCATGGCTGTCCAGAGTCTTGTGTTTATGATTCTTATCAATCTGGATGGGGCACAGAGTGACAAAGCTATAGCAACTGCTGTACAAGCCTGCCTGGAACACTAGGTCCTGGCTGCAATGACTTGCTGCCTGCCACAGCTTCGTTGCTCTGGCAGCTTTCCTGAGATGGGTGGGAAGCTGGCTCTGCTGTACCCACGCCTGCCTCAGCCACAAGTCCCACTGCAGAGCACATTCACCCACACAGCCACAGGGGAACTGCAAAGCCCAAGATGCTATCAACAGATCTATCTGAAGAAAAGTCTGCAAATACACTCCTGCCTACCTCAGGAAAGCAGCCACAGCTTGCACAGCCTCCACCGCCACCTCCAGCACTGGGCAGTTCACTGTCTCCATCAAAACATCAATGGCTTCTATACATACACCTCGGTTTGTGAATAATTTGATTTCCACTGGTTGCCTGTGAAAATGAAACAAAGTAAGCAAGGAGAATGTTGTCAGAGTTAGGTAACTGTAGTGCCCTTCCCTCATTTCAGCAAATGGACAGCTGAGCCATGAGATTGCAGCCATGTTTTCCAGTACTGAGAGCCAGCTGCTCTCCAGGAGGTACTCTCACACTTGAGCAGGTAGAGGGTTTGCTATAAAGAGGAAATTTCAGCTAGTATAAAGCACTACCATGATAAAACACCCACAGCCTGGATAACTGTGTGACTACTCCAGAACACTGTCATGAAAAGCACAAGACAAACAAGCTTTGTAAATTATAGTGGTCTCTGTGCCTAGGACTCTATGTACCATCAGCTCTGGCATTTGTGAGTTCATCTAGCAACTTATATTTTCAAGTATACAACCAAACATCACCATCCTAGAATAAGGATAATGCCATGAGAATAGCTTCTCTCACGGCACTCCTAATGCCAGATGCTGCCAGGACAGGAACCTTCACAAACTTGAAAAGTAATCAGGACAATAAACGTAATCCAACTGTTTTGACAATCCTTTTCAACAGTGAGCATTTTGGTCATCTGTGGCCCAACACCTCAGCATGAAAGCATGGAGGGACAACAGACCATTAATCCCATTATTGGACAGAGCTGTGTAAATGGTAGAGTGTGCTCATTTGGCTCCTGGCAAGTCAGGTATAGCTGGGAGGCCAGGGGGAAGACAGGCAGCTACACACAGACAAGAGGCACAAACAGCCTGCCAGAGGGTCCCTCCAAAGTGAAGCAAGAAACACAGCATGACGGGAGCCAGATTTGGGAGCCAAAACTATTCCCTGTTATTCAATTTTCATAGTCATGCCTGACTAAAGAAAACCAGGAGCACATGCTCTCATGCACAAATGGGAAAGCAATTTCTACTTCAGTAGAAATTACACTAGTAGCCCAGTTACATGGCAAAAAGGGAACAGAAGAAGAACCACTCTTTTTAGTCACTCAGTGGGATGGAACCCAGCTTTGCAGCCACTTCACATTCTGCTGTGAGAAAAAGCTGTGAGGTGGGCATGGCAAGAAAAAGGACTTGTGGAACTCAGGCACCTGGAGCCAAGCCACAAGTGATACACTGAACTTCCAAGTTGCTTCTACTCACACTGGATAATTCTATGGATCCTCTGTATTTCCTTTCTTTGATCTCTGACCTTCTGAAATAAAACACGTCAGGAAGAAAAAAGTCTTCACTGACTCATACAGGGAAGAAGGGATGGAGGAGTATTGCTGACTCATTCAAGATGCACAAACCCACTTTCAAGATGGTGCACTGTGATATCTTCAGGGCCTGGGGGGGAAGTGTGAAGTGTGGCAGGAGCTCTCTGGCCACACAGAGCCTCCGACAACTTTCCCAGGCCTTTCTGGGAAAGGCCCTGAGAAGATCAGAGAAAAGAATAAGAAACAATTCTTATCTTCACTTGCTGCACCTGTTGCTGTGAACAAGTGGAATGTGTTATAGAGATTTGTCTACCAAAGGGTGATTTCTTAATTGGCCAATGGTGATGGTGTTTGGACTTGAGGACCAATTAGGTCGACCTGTATTGTAATTGTCAATAAAAGCAATGGGTTTCTTAATAAGTATAGTATACTAAAGCGATTGATCAGCCTTCGGAGAATCACAGAGTCAATGCTAATTATTACCCAGCTGGAGGCCTGCAATGACAGTGAAGGGCAGCACTCTTGCAGCTTCCTGCAATCTCTCATCTTGGGGCCCCAGTCTGCACCTGACACTTTGATTATGCTGGCAAAGACAAGGGTCACTCCAGGGAGTGCTACCCAACATTCCTGACATACTACCAAGGGGAGCAGTATGTCCTGCAATGGGCCTCACCAGAATGTGCGGCTCCCTTAGACAAGAGAATCCAGCTGCAAGCTAAAACCAAGATGAGAGGTTCCAGCACAAGATCCCTTTCTCTACTATGAGATAATTTTAAACAAAACGTGATTTCTAAGGAAAAGCTCAGAGAAACAGAATGGGTGTGCGAGAAAATCAGAGCAACTGCACAGAGTGTTCCCTTTGTTTTACAAGCATAAATGCTATAATTAGTATTCCTCACATCCTGGTTTCTCTTTTTGACAGATCCCACACTGGCATCACCACACTGTTCTAGCATTGTTACTTTTTCTTCTCCTTTTTACCCTTCCACTTGCTACAAAATTGACTGTGACATTTCCAAAATTCTGCTCAAGGGCTCTCTTGGGGGATCTAAGTGGCAAGAACGAAACTCTGTCACTAGCGTGACAGGATAGCAACAAGATCATAGAGGCAAGAGCAGGAAGTACAGAAGAAAAACAAGCCAGTGTATATTATTTCTTAGCAGAAAACAAGAGGAAAAAAATGACAGAAGACATTAATATTTCAGCCCAGAATTTGTTTTTGCAGTTTGAATTTAGCTCAGATGATGACAGAAGACCAGAGGGTATGGAATTTGCATGCTTTGTTTTGTCATAGAGGCACACTTAGCAGGAGCTGGCCTGCTCACATATGCCTGGACCTTCCTGGCCTTCTCTCCTGCTCTGTCTACAGCTGAAAAGAGATTTCACCTCCCTGACTGGCAAGGAAGCAGGAAGAGGAAGATTTAGTGGTGGATGTAAGCACAAACAGGACAAGCTGGGAGGTTCAGAAACAACCATCAGGCCCTTCTTTGCAAGAATAAAGCATATGAGATTGTTCAGCACCATCTTTTAAACACAAAAACTCTTGTGTGTAGATATATGATCTTGGAAGAAAATCTTAAAAGCACAAATTCCACAGTCTCTATTTTGGGGCACCAAACTCTGCCTGCAAGCCTGACAGGGTACTCCCTTACCGTTTCATTATTTCAGTGAAGAGCAGGAGTCCTTGTTTGTGCAACTCCACATTGTTCAGCAGCAGAACACCTTGGAGACTCTTCACCAGAGATTCAATGCCTGTACACGTTCAAGAGAAGTCACAGAGAGGCTTTTAACATTCCAGATTGCAGAATGGAAGCAAAATTAATTTTTAAAAGGAAGAAAGGTTTGAACAATTCTTCCTCTGAGCTACTGACAGAAACAACTGTTGAATGTTCACTCAACTCCCTCATAACATGCCTCAACCTTCACTGCTGGAGATAAGTCCCAAAGAACACAAGGAATTTAACCATTCTTCCTAAATCTACTCTTGACATACCCACAGAATGACACTCTCTGAGTTACTATTAAGTCTATCATGATAACTGGTTATTATAATGAATTAGTGTTCATCAGAAACTCATTAGGATAATGACACTATAAATTCAAGCTATGTTGGACATCACAAACATGTCAGATAGGAACTTATTTTAAGTCCTTTATCCATCCTGACTGGGAATTGTGATTGTGTGTAAAGTTCTGGAATTCAGCTAGAGGCACAAGAATTACTGCAGTCACTCTGCCAGAAAGGTTGATGACTCACCATAGACCGTGTGACACTTGGAGAAGAAAAGGCGCTCTTCAGTCAGGAGGAGCAGGCAGCAGTACACTGACCAGATGACGACTTCACTTTTGCACAAGAGACACTCAAAGAGGAACTCTGCAAACACACACACAAACAAGGTCACCCTGGTAAGAGGCAGGCTGCTCAGCATGGCACAGCTGCTCCTAGAACAGAGCAGAGGAAGGAGGAGGATACATAGCAACAGCTACAGGGAGAATGGCTGTACTATGAAATGGCAGGAATGGAGAACACAGTAGATGCTCAAGGGTATGCTAGTCTTCAAAAAGAGGTGACTGGAGAGCAGAGACCCATGGGCAATCATTTCCCAGCACAAATTCAGTAGGAAGGAGCTGAATTGTGGATCTAGCCTTTGGCACAAATGAAAAGCCACAAAGCAAGCTTTACCACAGATGCAGTGGCCTTTTTTTCCTCATAACTTTTACATCTCCCAAAGAATTTGTATCAGGAAAGTATTTCTGTCTTTTGGGATTACAGAGAAACAATAAACCATCTCCCATTCTAAAGCTAAGCCCTAGACCTGAGTCTAGGGTTCTGAGCAAGCATACAATATTTAGTGGAATGTTTATTGTTTAAAAAAACCCAGTTTCTTTAAACTTGTATCTAAGGTCCTGCAAGAAGGATCTTAACCCCAAGTACTTGGCCAAATTCTCTCTGTGGAAACTCTTTTCTGCCTGGTGACACCTGCTTCTAAACTTTCAGTTGAAAACATACTCTCCCCTTCTACTCCTAAAATCACCTGGTATAAAATGGCCACCACATTATGTCACCAGTGGATTTCATGGAGCCAGCCTGATTCCTAAACCAAACAGCCAGGGCAGCTATGATACTGGGCAATGAAAAATAGGATGCTACTGCATTTGTTCACCTGGGACATCAGCATGGATAAAAGCAGGAGCATATCTGCTAGGCGAGTGAACCAGCACTGCAGCCATACAGTGAGAACTCGCTGCCTGTAACATTTCATCTCTGGTCAACAAGAGCTGTTGGGAAGCAAAAGTCAAAAGGAGAAAGGAAGTCAGCTGTGCAGCTGTGAGAAGGAAACAGTTTGTTCGACTTTTTAAAATTTAAAACATAAATTCAGGTCTCTCCTTTGGCATTTATTAAACCTGCTAAGGTAAGATAAAACACTGAACCAAAGAGACTCAAAAAAGCACATGAGAACTACAACAGAGTAGATAATGAGTAAGAATAGTTCTGCCCACAGGCTTACTCATGCTGGTGCTTTATGTGCTAAATCAGACCTCAAGTGTAAGTGAGTAAGGCCAGGAGTAAAATTTTCCCTATTCCAGGATGCAGGAATGAACAAAAAGGTGATCAACAGAGGCATCCCCGTTTCTCAGTGCAGCCTCTATTGCTGGTGTTGATAACAGAACACTCTGCTTTTTCTATATATACAGTGCCTTAGATAAAAGTTCATTACAGGACAGCAAATTATTTATGCGTACCAACAATTCACTACTACTTCAGCAATCACCTTTTTGAGAACAAGTGGCAGTGGATTTTCCCCTTCTAAGAAGTCAGTGTTCTCAGACTCCTCCTCTGTCTTTAAATTATTCATAAAAATAGATACAAAATGGTCAGATTTCAACAGCTCCTTTAGCAAACCTGCCAAAGGAAGAGCAAGAATGAGCACCATACTGAGCAGCACACTGAGCATTATATTAACACACAAGTATCTCCAGACTAAGACTTGTTGCCAACTTCCTCCCCTCTCCTGGAGGGCCTCACCTCCAATTTAGGGAAGTTCTTCTCACTCTGTCCCCATATATTGCCACAACCCCCATGTCTTGCAATCCCTTGCTGCTGATACTTTTGCTGGTCTGATCTGATCTCTGTTCCTTCTCAGTCACAGAGTATGTATATGGGTGCATCTCAGGAGCTCCCTACTTGCATTATCTTCTGTTAGTAACCACATCTTCAACTATTTCTTGGGAGAGCTCTTGACCTGCATTCTTCTCCAAGCAGTCAGTTACCCTCAATGACATTTTCTCTAGAACACCTCATAGAGAACAGGCATTTATGTTCCCCTTCTATTTTCACAGGCTCTTACAGAAACAGCTGTGTTCAGCTAAAGGATACCCACACTTCAAAAAACTCCCTCAGTATAACAGTATAGATCACTGCTACAGGTAATGATAAAAATCATCAGTACAAATTCACAGGGGTATCGTCTGAGCTACAGAATTCTACTTTCACAGGAATAATAATCTATTTCTAGTAGCTGAGTAGATAAGCTGAGGAGCAATCCAGTTCCTGCTTGCCTCCTTCTAGAAAAATTAATTCCCTGGGTGGTTTACAAACAAGTTATGTCAGAAAGGCTGAAATTGTGCTCCCCAGCAACAGCTGAAACATGCAGTTGGAAGGATAACTGCAAGAAAGTGCCACTTCCACATTAGCTCTATATCTAATTAACACGATGCTTCATATCTAAAGACTGTATTTTTTAGACTCTATCCCACCTGCCCATGCACAGTATTTGCATTCAGACATTTTGAGATATGATCGGGCCATAACACAAGCTTGGAAGAGACTGAAGATTAGGTAGTGCTGGGAAAACGTGAGGCATCAGGGAACAACAGGATCTGGGGGTGCTCAGCAGCAGGTCTGGACCACTTCATTGGAGTAACAGAAAGTACTGACAGCTTTGGACAAGCAGCATAAAGATCCTCTACAGAACAACCAACATTACATCATCTAAATTAGCCAAGGATTTCTTCCTCATTCTAAGCCTTCCCTTGCACCTTGCAGTTTCTCTTAGCAATGTCTTACCCAAACAATTAATCTGCAGCTCCTTTGTCTGTGCACACCCCAGAGTATTCAAGAAGACACCACACAGCCTTTCTTCAAAGTGTCCTGAGAGCCGTTCTGTGCCAACAGGAGACGAGTACAGCTTGCCATACAAGTAGCAGACAGCAGCCTTTATACGTTCATTTGGGTATGTCAAGCCCATCAGCAGATGATCCACTAAATTATCTAGCATGAGGAACAGGAACAGCAAACATTCACTGACATTTTAAAAGCACTAACCTATTTCCCTTGAAAACTTGCAAAAGCCTGCTGGACAGACTGGTGTATGCAGGTTAATGAATGCCACAATCAGGTGATGCACTCAGCACCATCTGTCTCTCTGAGCAGAGGTACAGTAATACACAGCTAGTAAAGCTCACTGTTTACCACATGAAGATCCATCATCCCAGCTCCCTCCACAAAAAATTCAGCTTGCTCACCAGACCCCCAAGCACTGGATCAAGATAAAAAAACCTAAACATATGTTGCCTGTGAGGCAGAACCACAACCCCAGTTCACAGAGGCTGCTTTTGCCTGGCTAAAAGCATGATAACAAGTTGCTATGAAGTTTCTGACCTGTATCCCAGGAGGCCTGAATGCCACTCTGACTTCTGGACAGGCTTCTTGTGTGACCTTTATGAACCCGTCGGGGGGACAGGGGAGTGCATGCACGCATGTGTACTAGGGCTGTGGATACCACCCTTCACTGGGTGACAGTGGGACATAACATACTAGAGTGGGACATGACATACTACTCACTGTGCTTTACCACCAGCATTTCAGCAAAGCCTGGGATGGCATCTGCCAGCTTGCCCAAGAGAGAAAATGTGGGCAGGCTGCTTCTCATGGTAGTTGCTTTGCACAGCTGTAGAGGAGACAAAGGATAATGTTTCACTGATGAGGACACAGTTCATAGGCAGAAATGCACCCAAACCAGCAAGTTCTCAGTGATGCATATTTTTCCAGAATAGGATCTTTTCCAAAGATGGGCCTCTTCACCACTTGGGATAAACCACAGGAAAACCCCTAATACCACACTAAGTCTCCAAAATGTCTTTAAATGAATTCAAGGAATTGCTTGTTATTTCTTTTCCTCTTTTCCCCCTCCACTTCTTACGTGAGCAGATTAATTTCTCACCACTTTTGCTACTTCCCTTTTTTTGTACCTCTTGAGACCATCCTAAACTTAGGAACAAAGAGAGTAGAGCCCACAGAACAGGCTAGGAAAGCTCCTCATATAACTGAAGTGTAAAGTAGGAAAAAAAGTATCTGAGGAAACCACACCGTTTCATAAGTGTATAATGAAGCCCTATGGCTGCAAGATATCATGAGAACAATATAAAAACTCCACGGTAGAAACTAACACTGCCAACATCACAGCTGGGGAACTGGCATTAGGACATCCAAGGTCAGGTTGGATGGGGCTTTGAGCAACCTGGTCTAGTGGAAGGTGTCCCTTCCCATGCCAGGAGGGTTGTAATGAGATGATTTTTAAGGTTCCTTCCAATCCAAACCATTCTATGATTCTGTGATCCCACTGTTACATTCCAGTCTTGCAGGGCCACTCATTCCTCAAACTCTGAAAGACTGGAAGGAAGGGAAAGAGAACTCATCTTCACTGACCTCCTTCTGACTTTCATCCAAAATGCAGTATAAGTACTGTTCTGACTTCAGCTCCACAACAAGTCTCACCAGAACTAGGCAGAAAAAACAGGATCAGTAACATACACAAAAGAGAACTCACAATCCATCTTCCATGGGGCTTTAGCAGACCAGCAAGCAAAGAGCTTAGAAATGAAATGAGCACAGACATGCTGAGAGAGCAGTTACAGCAGCATTCCCAGCACTATTACTTCTGATAGCCCAGCTCAAGCTCTCTGAGGCATCATTCCAGCAACCCTGCTTCAGCTACACTACAAACCATGCATGGAAATGAGTTGCAAGCAACAAATTGAGCCTCAGGACAGCCTCAGGAAGTAAACATAAGGATTCAGGAATTAAAGGGGAAAAATCTAGCTTAAAAGCATAAAAAATTATGGTAATTGCACAGACTAGGCTTCCTACTGTATGAAGACTGGCCTTTAAAAATGCATCCTTCCAAAGAAGAGATCAGAACCGAAACTGCTGAAGATCCTTAGATTCACACTCAAGAGTTCCTCCTTCAGCTGCTACTGTCCCTAAGATAAGTGAAGTCTATCAGCCATTCCTCCCCCAGTGCAGATGTCCCATACACCTTACCAGAAAACAAAGTGCCAGTCACCAGAGTGGTGCTGTTCACCTCCTCAGCCCCAAGCAAGTGCTGTTACTACTGTAAGAACTCTGCCAGCTCTGTACGAATAAGAGGAATCAGCAAGAAATTATGTTTTCCAGGCAGCAGCAATGCATTACTTGGAACCTGGGGTTTCCCAAACAAAATTACAAGGGAGTTGCCTGATGCTGCCAGGCTGTCTGTGCCTCCACACATATACCAGCAGGCCAGTTGCATGAAGCAAAGCTCCTCTTCCAGTACTTTTAGAACTGACACATGAGTGTTCAGACGATACAATTTTGGCAAGAACCCCTTCACTGAGACACTGTGCACACACTTCTACATAGGATTTGATAAGGCTGTCTTCAATTTAGCTTGCTGTCATGGCACGACTCATTTGGAAAACCTACACTTTTGATTTGTATCCTAGGAAAGCATTCTAAAAAGAAATACCAGAGACTTCTGTGTTCACTATTTCTTGGTATATCCAAGGCAATACTAGACCTGCTGCAGCTACAGAGCTACGCATCTCAGCAGAAGCATGTCTGAGATGTGATTTATAGATGGTTTAATAGCCCTTCTTGCCCCAAACTCTCAGAAACTTAAAACACTTTCAAGACTTAGGCAACACTAATTTAAAATTGCTCTGTTAAAGAGCATCCATCTCTCAACAGACCAGTAACATGACAGAAAGACTTCTCCACTTTTCAACTCCATTTCAAGCAAGTGTCTGGAAACTAAAATCCCTCTGGAAGAAGTTTGTAATAGCTCTTTCATGGCTGGTCATGAAATGCAGCATTGCACTGCTGATATCTCTAGACTCAGCAGAGGTACCCAGGGTTAACTGGACTGCAGAGATTCCTTTATCAGCCCTGCAGATATTTCCTTCAGTTTTCAAATGAGGGACTGCCCACAAAGAGGAATCTACAGCTTGTACAGAAAGCAGTAGATCCCACAGACTTCCATTTGCTTTGACAATTTAGTCAAGTACAAAGATGCCCAAGTTGAGGCACTGTCACCCCTCTGATATTAAACTCATAACACACGCAGATAAATGTTATTTAAAAATGCATGCACCCCCTGCCCCCCAGTATTGGAGCAGACTACTCTTTTTTTTTTTTTTTTTGCATGGATATTGATAGTCTTCCCCACTGAAGCTGTGTCAAGGCTGAGCATCTCACAATAGGTATCAGCCAATACTGATTCTCCCCTTCACAAACTGCCAGTAAAGGAGATGCGGTATTTGTCTCTCACCTTCAACTAATAGGTTCAGGGCACTGCTGTCTTCCACAGAATGCAACAGCCCTACAAGACAAACCACAACAGGTCATGGAACTCACTCCTGCTTCGGATCACCAGTGCTGTAATTAATTCTTGCTAAAATGAGGTGATTTTTTTTTTTTTTTCAGAACTGTTGTGTGTTCCCTGCTTCACATAACACCAGCCTGACTTTGTCAGACAAGGGTGGATACTCTCCAGGAGTATCGCAAAAGGTGCCTCCATAAGCAGGACACGGGGACATGAGGCACTCTGTTCTCTCACAAATTTTTTATGTGCTTTATAGTTGAAGTCAATGGCTCCACCTATGTCAGGGAATATGTAACTGCTGCTGCCACCACATCTCACTGTGTCTATCCAGTATTACACGTCTGAAACAACACCCCAGAATGGCAAAGTCAAAGCCCAGCTGGGAGTTTTGTTCTTTGTGTCCTCCATTCTTACCAGTTACTATGAACAGGCTTCTCCCTCCACAGTACTGAAAAGCCTAAAACCAAACCGGAACACCAGGTTTAAATCATCCAGAAACGATTACAACATTAAATGGAACCTGAAGGCATCACTTCATAAGTTAATTTTACAATGAGAGCATAAGACTGGATATATCAAAATAAAGAACAGTCTCACTCTAATACACTCCAGCAGACAAGAAACTCCACCTCCCAGCCCCTTCCAACCTATAGCATCAGGCATATTGTTTGGACCCCCAACTTCTGCCACACTGAATCACTTGTTTCAATACATCCAATCAAACCACCTCCCCTCTGAAGGCTCCATGATGTCTCAGAATTTTGACCAACTAAAGCAATGTTATGACAGGTGAAGAAATTACTTATTTCATGCCTCATCTGCCCAACCCTCAGTAACTTTTAGAAAAGATTTGTATACAGCATTACTGAACATTACAATATTAGCTGCATGAAATTCAGGCTTATCTGAAACACACCACCTCATAAGTAACACTCCACCTCTCTTAACCCTCTTTCTTCCAAATGCATTTTCCTGAATTCACTATTAATACTTCCTCCACAGCACTGCCAAACTTCTAGGGAGATCCTCCTTACACTCTTGCACCAAATGATCCCTGGTTCATCCAAGCTCTGTTGAAAATATGTCATTGTTTGTAGCCCCAAGATTAGGCTGGGACTCCAACTGCTCTAAAAGTTATACATATAAAGTACAATCAGGATTCATCCCCATACAGGCCACCAATTGCTGGTGTTGGTGCTTGGCATCAACCAACAGTGGATGAGAACTGAGTGTCACCATCAGTTTATTATCTTACTGTAGAACTTTTATACTTTCTCTCTGTGAGTTCTCATGGGCAGCTCCTCCCAACACTGAATCCTTTTCTCTTTCTTATGCAAGGCTGGCTGACTTCTTCCTGTCCCTAACACACACACCTGACCCTTTCCGTCCCTCACAGCACATACTAAACCTTACTATCCCTAACACACAGGCACACATGACTCTTACTCCTCACAGCAGCAGAGCCAACTGACTCCAACTCTCTCTCAACCAGCTGAGCCACTCTTTTATAACCCATCCTTATCAGACCATCCTTATTGGACACAGCTGTGACCTGTCAAGGGCAGGTCTGCTCCTACTCTTTGGTAATTAGTACAGCTGCAACTTCTCAGGGGCGAGATTGCCTTCAGCACTATCTCTATTCTCCTACAATCCATCCTCCCACAGTACAACCCTAAGCTGCCCTCAAACCACCCCAAGAGCATTGAAATGCAAGCACAGCATCCCTGTCTTCTGAGGTATTTTGTAATAGGGCCATACACTATAGGGTTCAATTGGCCACAATCACCACTTTTCCCATTACTCTGAAGGATTATGTGTGCACACACTATTAAGAAAAAATATGCAATTAAAAAAAAAAAAAAAACTGCATAAAGTTCTGCTTCTAACAAAGCTGCTTCCAAATCATGTCTAACACCATTTATGGGCAATCAACTGTTTGAGCAATTCAGTGTGTCAAGGCAGGGATAGGGTCTTGTAGGTTCCTTTTCTCCAAAGAACAAGAATTATCTGTGATGTGCAAATGAGATGGTGGAATTGAAGTAATCTGGTATATTTGCACTTTGAAGGCACTCTTATTTCTACTCTCTGTCTTTCCATTCCATTATTTCCTTTCCATCAAGACTTTAGATGTCTCAAAGACATTTCCCCGCTATGCAAACACAAACCAATAAGAGAAGTTCAAGATCACAGAGACTTAGTGGAAAGACATTTTCTGACATCCTGCTGAACACTATTGTGCTGAGGCTGACTAACCAGAAAGCAGCAAGTTTTAGTTGTACAGCAACAAAGATTTCTATAAATGTAAGTGATGGTGTAAAAAATCCTACTACATAGATTTGTGGTTTGCACATTCGATATTAAATTCTGCAACACATTTTTAAGCTCACACTTTGATTTCTGTATGAATCTTCATTTAACTCCAGAGGCATGAGACCAGAATGGAAAGCATTCAGGGAAGAGTAAGATGCCAGGCATTCCCTATTTTCCAGAAGAACTTTACAGATACGTCAAGATACTTTAAAAAAATCACAGGAACTTTAGAAACGTGCCAATCCTGCAATCTGGGGAATGAGAAAATTAATTAACCTATTCTAAATCAGTGACAAGCAGTTTCTGTTTTTCAGCAGGGAGTAATTACACAACAGAATCGTAGAAGTCTGGAGGTAGGCACCTCAATGGTCTTTTGCTCTTTTGGCTTCAAATGTGGTGAAGCTTCACATGGGTTCAACAAAAGGTAACTATCTCCTCCCTGCTGTTGCACCAGGCCTCAGCAAAGCTCTTACCAAAGAGAGTTCCTATCAAATGCATGCACACCCTTTCGTCTGGTGCCAGCAGCTGAACGACTGGCAGCGCCTGCCAGGCCAGGGCATCCTGGAGACGAGACAGGACATGCTTCTTGCGCACCAGCTAGGGATCAAACACAGCAGCCTGTTAGGCCCTGGGCCCCAGCCCCGCGCCGCTCCCACCACCCTGAGGGAAAAGGGCCACCAGGGTCCGGGGCCCGGCCGGTGTGGCCCTTGGCCAGCCCTGTCGCCTCGGCACCCGGACCCAAACCGAGCCGGAGAGCACAAGCCCAGACGGCGGGGCAGGCACACGGGAAGGGCCGGCGGGGCAGGCGCTGCCCACCGAGGCGCTGCCGTCGCCCAGGGTCTCCACGGCGCAGGCGAGGCAGAGCGGCGGGCGGAGCGGCAGCGCCCAGCGCGGCCCGTGATCGCCGCACGGCACCGGCACCGGCACCCCCGCCGCCATCGGCCGCTGCCGAGGCCGCCGCGCAGCTCCGCCCCCCGCGGAGACGGCGGCTCCGCCCCGGGGCCGCTCCCGGCACCGCCTCCCTTCCGGCGGCCGCAGCCGCGCTCCCTCTTCCGTCAGAGCGCGCTCGGGCCCACAGCAGCGACCGCGTCGCGGCCATGGTGAGTGGCGCCGGGTCCCGGTCTCCTTCCTCCTCCTTCTCCTCTACCTCCTCCTCTTCCTTCTTCTCCTATTCTTCCTTCTCCTCTTCGTGCTCTTCTTCCTCCTGCCTGCTCCTACCAGCCTGGGATAGAGGAGGCCGCCCTCCGGCCGCGCGGCGGGCAGCACGTGGAGGCCGTGCGGGCGGGCGGGGCTGCGGCCGATTGCGGGGCGGGAGGCCCGGGGGGCTGGCGGGCCTGGGGACACCCGGTAACGGGGGACTCCGTGTCTGGGGTCACCCCCGCGCCGTGCTGGGAGCCGGAGAGGTGGCGGTTCTGCCAGTGCCAGTCGCTAACACCGCTTGTGACCTCCCTGCTGTGCCACCCCGCTGCCCATGTTAACGTTTAGAAGCTACCGGTGGTTTGCAGAAATAAGCCTGATACCTGCTCTTCTGGTGATTTGTTTAAAATTTTTGTTAGTCTTAGTGTTTGATTTTGTGTAGTCTGTGGTATAAAACGCCCGAAGACTGCCCCATAAGTGCACTGCTGCAGGTTTGTAAGGTGTAGATTGTGAGTAGAGACACTCTTTACTTTGATGTAAAGGCTATCTTTCTTACTTTTCCCCTTTACTTTGATACAAGAAGAACCTTTACTCTTTTAGGAGTAAAATGCAATGGTGTTTCTTCTATATGGGCAGAGCAGATTAGATACGACTTCAGAAATCAGTATATGTGGTGGACATGATGCCTGTGCAGTGTTGATCAGACCAAAGCTTCCTTTGCTCCTATTGTAATATTCTTTACTGTTTCCTTTAGAGTGAGGCAGAAGTGAATCCCAAAGCTTACCCGCTGGCGGATGCACAGCTCACCAAAACGCTGCTGGATCTTGTGCAGCAATCCTGCAACTATAAGCAGCTACGCAAGGGAGCCAATGAAGGTGAGACTTGTATGTTGAAAAGTGTGCTACAAGTCACAAGGATATTTAGAGATGCCGTGAGTAGAGATTGTGTTTCCTCTGTAGCTGTGAACCACTAACTTTATATAGATCTGGCTATTGCAGGTGTGTGTCTCCTTTATCTCCTGTTTTACCAATATTCAGGGACAGAACTAAACTGTAACTGTCAGATAAATTGACATTTATCTGCAGTTCTGGTGGATGTCCCAAACTGTTCCTGGTGCTTGGTTTGTAATCATGCATGCTTCAGTGGTGTGGCACTGGGGTTACCAGATGCCTAACCAGTTCGGAACCATAAAAGATTTGGGTTTGAAGGTAACTTTAGTGTAACCTGCTCACAATCTCACAGTTGCTTGGGACTTCACCTAGTCAAACTTGTAAATAACCCACAATTCCTAAGGATAGAAATTCAGTAATCTCTTAGAACCCATGTCCCATGTACTCGATCTTCCCACTGATGCCACTTTCAGCGTCTCCTGAAGTTGTTTTACATTAGATGTGCTTTCCAAAAAGACCTAGATTGACTCAAGTTTCTTTTACAGCCACCAAAACACTGAACAGAGGGATAGCAGAGTTCATTGTGATGGCAGCAGATGCGGAGCCCTTGGAGATCATCCTGCACCTCCCTCTTCTCTGCGAGGACAAGAACGTACCCTACGTGTTTGTGCGCTCCAAGCAAGCCCTGGGCCGGGCATGCGGCGTTTCCCGGCCTGTCATCGCCTGCTCCATCACCATCAAGGAGGGATCACAGCTAAAGCCTCAGATCCAGTCTGTACAGCAAGCTATCGAAAGACTGTTGGTCTAAGTGCCCATGAGTGTGTGTGTGTGTGTGTGAAATAGGAAAGTGCAAATTAGGGAAAATTAATGTTTAGCTTCAGTTGAGATGATAGTTTTGATATCAATGTTTCATTTCAAAATGCCACATTTTTGTTTAATAATGGCTTAATTCTTAGTGTTTCCGCCTCCAATCCCCCCGCTTTCCTATTATTCCACTCCAACACATTCTCGTATTATTACTTCTTGAAAAGTGACTGTACAACTGTGTTTCCTGTTTTATGTTTAAAAGGAGGACAGAAAAAAAAGTCCCCCTCTTGTCTTCCTGTCTGCCTGCTCAGGGCTTTTTTAACCCACCCGTCAGCTTTCTCTGTGTTGCAGTATTTCTGCTAAGCTTGAGCCTCCAGCAGGTGTGAGTAATTCTTGCGTTTCTGAACGGTTTAGGCTACTGAGAAGGTTCCCTGTGTTCAGGCTGCTGGAGTCAGTAGGTGATGGAGCAGCACAGGCGGGTGTAAGGCAGGCAGCAGCTACTGTGTAGCAGCAGATGGAGCCAAGATCAGCACAGCCCTTGTTCTTGAAACCAGACAAGAGACTTCTTCTGTTAAGAGATGCACTGGGAGCAGAAAACTTGTGGCAGTACGCAAGGGGAACACTCTTACCTTGATTATTTTTAAATACTGACTTTTTAAGAAAAAAATTTTAAAATGCTGTAAAGCTGCATAGAATTGTCATTCCCTTGGTGAAGTATTTGCAACTAACTGGAGTGTTTCTGCTTGTAAAGCACTGCTCACAGGTTGTCTAAAGGCTATTGCAGTGCAGTAATTTGTTCTTTTTCAGCTTCCTTTGCATGGACTGTTACTACTGAGGTTGGGTTTCCTAGAGAAGTACAAAACACAGGGCAGAGAGCAGCCTGTTGTGGCTAACGAGTACCCTACATCTGGCTGTTAATTATAAAAAGTGCCATGCTTTTTAGCTACTGCACTCTAGTCACCAGACTGAAGATGAACCCTTGTAAGTTATGGCCAAGGAAACAGAATAAGTAATTTTTCAGATAAATTAATATGTATCTCAAGAAGAGAATGCTGTATCATCTCATGTCCTGGAAAAACATCATGGAGCACCAGCAGCAGTCCGGATTAATGGTGGTTTTGTGGACCTAGTTTTAGTGATATACATATTGTACAATAAATGCATTTCTGCTCTGATTGGTTAAGTTTAAACCCTTGTGTTGGAATATCAAATTTGTTTTGTATTGCAGGATGCCAAAGCAAAATAGCGTGGAAACTCCATTAGGCGCAACAGCAGAATGGAAAATAAATTTTCCTGTAATGTTTCCACAGAAGCACTAACTTCATACCTTTCATAAGCACATCCCAAGCAGATGAAGTGAGCTCATGAAAGATTGAAGACATCATGTTCGTATATTTTTGTAAATGGCTGATACCAGCAATCCTTGCTGAGGTGAACTTGATACAAATACTTCAGAATCCTTTTATTTGTATGAGGTTTAGAAGGGCTCCTCTTCCCTTCTACTGATGCTGACTGTTGAGCTAGTTGTGTTTAGAACTACAGCTTTGCCAAGGATTTGTGCTGTTGTACCAAGACAGATGATGCAAGAGAAAGCACACAAGGAGCAGAAATAAAGGATACTTGAGCAAGCAAAACTGTCTTATTCTGCTCTGAAGCACTCCATCACCATCCCTTTTAAACTTCTGCTTAATGTGATAGCCTGCTGTTAAAAAGAACAAAGCAAAACAAAACAAAACCAACAAAAAAAAAAAAAATAGGAGGCAGGCAGATCTAATAACCTAGAACAAACATGCTACAATCATCCAAAGTCTGGAACATAATGTGCCTGAGGGTCAGCAAGCCAAGAGAGGAATTAACAAGAGTATTTGCAGAATTCAATTCACAGAATTACAGACAGTATAGTCTCACTATTCCACTCTTCAAGCCTTGCTAACACAAGCATTTATAGTAACTTCATTGCCCAAGGGCAAACTAAATTGAGTGCTTAGGCAAATCTTTATAAAAATAACTAATGCAGGCTGATTGGAAGTGTAACAGGTAGTTTCAGTACTGCAGAGCTCAGTGCAGGCTAGCAGCTCTCTGGAGGAATTGTGGAGGTAGAAGTGAGCAGCATGTTGGCACAGCTAGGAGAGTCACAGTGCCAGAAGGGTGGTCACAGCTGGCTCCACATGTGCCACACTACAGACTGGTCAGAGGACAGTTTGTGAGCCACACACAGGAAACTGGACACTAAAAACACTATGGAGACCAAAATGGACACCTCAGGTATCCAATGTTTGCATCTTATAGAAAATTAAGATTTTCACTAAACAATTAGTAATTTCCTAAAGCAAAAGCAACAACTGTTTATTGGTTTTAGTCATCTTGCACTGCAAGACAGGTGGGGCATGCCAGGAATGGAAGTCTATAACCCAAAACACTAAGCTGCAGCCTTCGTAAGTATGACTAAGAAAGTAAAAATACTGTATGTAACAAGGGCTCTCTCCATACCTTGCTATTCTTCTATTTTAAAAGCACATATTTGAGTACATAAGCCTCCACAATAGTCTGACTCACATTCACTTAGAGAAGTAGAAAAGCTCTATGCCACCTCAGTAACTTAATTGGGATAAATGCTTGCAGCCTTCTGGGGAACACAATTTGTTTTCCATTTTTAAACCAGTTTCTGCTATTACTGTATGTTCAGAATTGTTAAGTGCCAGCTCTTTGCCCAAGGGATTGGATACTACTTCCCAATAATGATTTTTTTTCTTTTAAGATCTGCTGGTAGTATTTGAAACAGTGATGGCAGAAAAGAACCCAATTTGATTACTAGTACTGATACTGTCAGTTTTGGAGAGTAATACATATTTATACCTTCTGTTAGGACACAGGCTCAATCTGCTGCTTAAATTCATGTGGTGCTATTAACATAGATCACTGTGTTTTCTTACCCTGAACTGAGTTCTGCTATCTTTATGATGCAGAGACAGCACAGTCAGTGTTGCAAAGGAAAAGGTCCAAACTTTTATTAAGAATCCAGCAAGGCACAACTCTGTCAGTGTGCAGTGGGTGACCTGAGTTCACAGGGAATTTAGTTCTGCCTTTAGCTACTGTCAACAGAATCCAACTTTGCAGAGATGTTTCACAACTAAGTAAAAAGTTTCTCCACTCCTAGACAAAGCAACATTTAGTTGCCATCCCTTTCGTAGCAAGATTAAATAGACACAGCACCCACATAAGACCATCAAGATTCTAAGCAGACAGAAGTAAACCGCCTTCCTCTCCAGCTTAGCACTTATTAAAGTATTCAGTTAAAGCATCCACGAGCTCCTGCTTCTTGCTTCCACACCTCAACCTCAAAAACCTACATGCATCCTTCAGGACAGATACGGTGAGCTTGCCCAGAGTGCCCTTCTGCACATGACTCCGCAGCTCATCTTTTGAGACTTCTACCTTGGGCCTCTTCTCAGTTTGATCATCAGAAGCTAGAAAGATACGTTTTAGATCAAACATTTTGATCAAACAAACATTTTAAAAATTAGAAAGACATCAATGTTTCTTATACACACCATAGTTAATGGCCATTAGTACATGGTGCATTAACAGCTACACACTCACAGACCTAGTTTTCATGTTTTCTTTTAAAAAACAGGCATCACTATGTCATGCAGTATTTCATTGATAGGAGTGATCTTAACTGAAGTATGAAACTTTGTGTTCTGATGAAAACATCACCCTCCAAATGAAATTTAAGGAATTCTTGTTGAGACAGCAGAATGCAATGATTCCATAGGGAGCTCAGCTAACTGACACTCATTTTATGCAGTCTTTTGTAGACTCCCAAATTACACATGGACTTCAGCATTGCTTACACATTTAGCCCTTAAGATGCCCATCTTGGACTTGCTAAACAGCCCATGTATAAAAGTCTCACCAGCACAAACTGAAAGCATGAGTGATTTTACTATTCTGTTGTAGAACAGAAAGTTGCTAAAATTATACATATATAATACATCTATACCTATATATTCTGCAGTCATTTACCCATGTTACTTCCTATACTTCACTCTGCATTTTGTCACTCCAGCAACTCTCCAACTGGATACCACAATACTCTTTACCCTCTAAGAATCAACACTGGATGTAATACTTAATTATGGAGATCAGCAGTTGTTGCACAAGCAGCTTCTTTAAACTATGAAACAAACTGAAAACACAGAAGATTCTAAACAGAATAAAGACATTATATTCTATGTTTGCACCACCATTACTTACCTTGTTTTCGCTTTACAGCCTTCCCTTCAGGATTGTAGTCAGGGGGATAAACCAGCTGCTTAAACTCATCCACCAGGTTGCCCAGCCTATGGCTCATCTGCTCAGACTTTGGCACTGGCAAAAGATAAAGATTTGCCCTCTCAGAAACAGTGTGATCACAAGAAAATCTACAAGGCCATCCCTACTGCCAGATGAACTATCAGCTCACCTGGTGGGAAAAATACAGTGCTCATTCTCAAAAACATTAGTGTATGGAACCACACAATACTTTATTTTGTAGGATCATGTTAAACATTCAACAAGAAGAAACTCACAAAATATGAACTAGCTTAGGTATGCCAACTTCACTCTGTATTGGGATATAACACCAGTTCATCAAGCACTACAACCACCAGAGACCCCCCGGGACAGAAGAATATGTGCACAAAGGGGAACTAACACATGTTAATGATTTTGGGGAAATTATTACCCACATGTATGTTTCTTCTGAGAAAACCTACATAAACAGCTTTTTCTGTTCTAGAGATGCACAATTTTAGTGGAGATATCCCCCCATGCATCCAGCACTGTAATAAAGAACACCTGCTTCTCAAAGCTGCATTGGTGCTAACAAGTCTGTCTGTTTTTCTGTAACATCACCAGACACAACTGTACTTCTGTAATAACTAGTCTACAAGTGTCCTGCAAGCATGCAAAAATGCAAATATGTGTGATACAATACTCCCAAATGAGAAGTTTACAGCTCTTGGTAATATCAAAAGTTTGGACATCTGGAATGCTGTGTCCAGTTCTGGGCTCCCCAGTACAAGAGGGATATGGAGCTCCTGGAATGGGTCCAGCACAGAACAAAGATAATTAAAGGAGTGAAACAGCTTCCTTATGAGGAAAGTCTGAAGGAACTGTTTAGCCTCCAGAAGAGATGACTGAGAGGGGAACCTCATCTAAGTATCTGAAGGGAGGGTGTCAAGAGTATAGTGCCAAGCTCCTGGTGCTGCCAAGAAACAGGAAAAGAGGCAATGGGCAGAAACTGAAGCACAGGAAGAGCCATCTAAACATGAGAACTTTACTGGGAATGTGACTGAGCACTGAAACAGGTCACCCACAGAGGTTGTAGAGTATCCCTCGCAGGAGAAATAATTAAAGAACTATCTGGAACTAGCCCTGTGCAATGTGCTGTAGGATAAACCTGCTTGAGCAGGGAGGTTGGACCAGATGACCCACTGTGGTCCCTTCCCTCCTGGCCCACTCTGTGATTATACAAGACACACACAAACTCTCCCAGTCACTAGGTGTCAGCACTGCCCCCAGCAGAATAACTCTCTTCATTCAGCCCATTTATCACACTGAAATATTAATGGGAATCTTGAAGAGAGGAATTTCAGAGAAAATATTTCTCACCATAGGAAAAAGGTGATTAAATTTTAATTTTACATGGTAAAGTGACCATTTTTTTCTTTACCTTAAAAGTGACAGCAATAGAAAATAAGGTTTCAGGATTTCAGAATGGACACATCTAGAATCCTACATAGTGAAACTGCACACAACTGAAATATTTCTTAAGAGACATTTGGGTTTGTAGTAGCACATATTTGACTTATAACAAAGTCACCAGTCCCCTACCCTGCCTCCCTTCACACCCGCAAATAGCTCTCACTTGTAAGATCCTCAGCTTGTTCTGGTTCCATCATATCCAGCGCCAAAGCCTCCAAATTCCTGAAGTGCTGCTGCAAAACTGGGTTCTCAAAGCTGTCAGCCCTGCCAAAAATCCCCCAAAATGTCAATGCATGCTGCCAAGAAGACAGACAAAACACTTAAGATCTACCACCAACTTATGTCAGAATAAAACTTCCCTCTTTGCCACACAATAATCTATCGTATCAGAACTGCTTTTCCTCTTTGCAATTTATTTGTTGAATCACTATCCTGTCATGCATCAACCACATAAGAAAGCTGTCTGAGAGTCAGAAAGCTGTATGAAGCAAAAGGAGATAGTGGCATTATACTTTAAGTATAGTTACGGTGGCTTCACATATCTAGGAAAAAAATCTCCCATGAAAGTATTTAATAGCATTTATTCCAGCTATAATGAAAAAAAGGCCTAACTCTTCTTTCTAAAGTGCTCTAATTTAAATGATCTGGGTCTGATCTGCTGTAGAGTGGCAGAACCACAATAAAATGTGATACCTCTGCAACAAATGACAACAGCCCGGAGAACAAGAGCAATTCTACAAAGAACTCCAGAACATGCTACATAAAGCATTGTGGTGCCTGGGTATCCAGAATGATTAAGAATAAAGTTTGAACAAAGCTACTGCAAAGAGAAGCAATTTCTATCAAAATACATTAAAATCTGATCTCAGGAACACCACAGCTGAACAATGCATTCAACAGAGCAAGCAATGGTTGTGCTTTTTTCCCCATGCCACTCACTCTACCCTATTTATCTCCAGGTACCTGTATTTGAACCGCAGCTTCTGAATTATTTCCTTCATTTTGTCTACCTGCTCTTGGCTGGCCGGCACATTTTCTGTAAAATCAACATTACGTTTGTCATCTGCATAGGGTAGAAAAATCAAGTGGAAACCTGTACAGAAGAGAGGGAGGAAGACAACAGTTACACAGAAATAATTGGTCTCAAAATCATTTATAGAAAAAAATGGTCTCAAAATAATTTATAGAAAACTAAGATGGGTATTATCGAGGTCTGATGACTCCAAACTAACTACTTGTTTTGTTGTTAACAACAGCAATCCATAATACTTCCAAGTGCCTACAGCACAACACTCAATCCCAATCTCAGTGTTTGTTACCAACATCTCTAATGGCTTTGTGAAAGACATTCAGACTAAATTCTTAGCTCCAAGTTGGATACCAATGACTTGCTTTATATGCAGAACATCAGCTACTCCATCTCTCCCACTTCTTACTGGGTCTGAGCTTGAAAAAGATTTCTTTGAAAATCAACTTATTGCCCACATTATTCTGAAATACATTACTTAGTACACAAGCAGTGTTACTTCCCTACTTCACATTCTCCCAGAAGATGTTTTTGCACTTAGATGTGAGAAAATGCAAAATAGCAAGAATCTGCTCCCTAATCATTCCCCACTCGTCTGACATGGCATGAGGCTCACTATATGTGAGACTATTTATTTAATACATTACAATCTATTCAAGGATATAACATAATTTGAGAAAAGACATTCTGTCTAGTCTTCAAACAGAGGAAAAAAAGGCTTTTCATTTCCACATCAGTTATTTGACTCTGCTAAAAAAGGCAGAAGGCAGGGAACACACCATAGCCAGGTCATACCTGAGCAAGCACTGATGCAACCGGGGCTTTAAAAATAGATTCAATATCAGATGTTTACACCGACAAAACTGAAGAAAAGGAATGTTGGAAAGCATTTTTCTTAGTTTTAAGGGAGGGTAGCACTAAGACTATTTTCCCTCAATACAGGACGCCATTACACTGACTACATCCACTCATACAGGGAAAGGTGGCATCTCTTCCCATACCTGGAGGGGCCATCTGCACTTTCTGCTCATCCAGCTCTTCCTCCTGGGGAACCAGGGCCACAAAGCGAGGAGGGACGTTCCGGCGAGGGGTGTACCTACACAGCATCATCATCGCCCTCTCCAAGCACCTGATCAATAGGGCATTAAACAGAGTTGTACTGCCTGCAAAGGAAATAGTGGATTGGTCAGACTGACAGCTTTGCTCCTTTATTCTAGAATATAACCCTAGATATTACAGTTTCAAAACCTGCGATTTCTTTGAAATCCTTGCATTATTGTGGAGGTACAAAGCAAATTTTGGAAGGGAAAAGACTCAAAATGGACAATGTTAGTGAGTCTCTCCTGACTAGCAGTGAGAGTTCTGGTGGAAGAAGTGAAATCACTACCATCTCAGTAATGGAATACTGTGAAATTTTATCTACAAAGTCTATTTTTGTTTGGTGGGACATCACAATAGAAGCACATAATAGACCTTTTGTGGAAGTAACACACTAGGAATTCAGACTTCAGTACTCTTCCTGAGGCACACATTTGCCTCAGACATGGTGGTCAGGGAAAGACTGACATATAAAGAACATGGTTGAGCCAGGAAACTGCAGTTAGAGAAGCAAGCATTAGGTTCTTCTTTCGTCAGACACTACAAAGCCTTTGATCATAACTCCGCCCTCTTTATCCACTGCTAGACCAAAGAGCTAAAGGTTTTTTCTTACTACTGCAGATTGGGATATATTTCTATATAAACAGATGCATGTATACCTATAAAAAGGAAAAAATAAGCAGTTCTAAATGTCCTTGCCTTCTCTCTTTACAAGCCTATAAAGTGCTGTTATTCAACTATACTTCCTGAGTATCATGTTTCTACTCCTAGCTGATATGGACTTAAAATCAGCAATTATCTCCCCTGGTTTGGGATTTAGGCTGTTATTTTTTTTGTCATTGGTTGGTTTTGTCTGGGCTTTTTTAACTATCTTTACTCTCTTGTTAGGCACTAAGATCCTTCACTTTCATGAATGGCTAAAACAAGTACTTTGTGACTACATCTGCATGGCTAAATTTGCTGCTTGTCATGATGGATAAACATGAAGTACAATTGGCTGTTCTGCTATAAAAGAAAACAAGAAATATCTGCAGCTGAGAGAGGCAATAAAAGTTAATACAGTTCTTCTTAGCTGTTGGAATCTGTGGTATTGATGATTCCGATATTGTAGAAAGTCTCTGTCTTTCCGCCCCGTTGCCAAAGAAGAAGCCATAATTCATCTGTGCTGGTTTCAAGGTTGTTTATTCTTGCTTATCTCTAACATGTTCTGCTGCCCTGCCGCAGGTCTGTCCTGCAGGGCAGCGTGCGGGGCTCTGCCCCCAGTGGGATGTTACAAACATTAAATACCAGAAACTACCTGTGCTATATTTACAATAATGTGCCAATATCTGTCATCTATGTTGAACAGTGTGTCCCCAGCCTAAACCAATAGAAAAATGCCAACACTACAGTGGAACATGGAGGGCATGAAGAAGGAGAAAAAGGACAAGACACACCCAATTTCTTCCATCTTGTCCCTTTTGAACCCCTAATGCAGAATCCTAAAATTTTACTTTTGCACCTGTGCCACACTTAATTATTACTTATATCAAACACTCAGAGCTTGTAATTCATCCTGTAAGATTGAAAACTCTTTTCCATGGACAGAGATCAGAGACAGGGCTCTGTACAGGGGGGTTCCTGACCCCCTGCCAGGGTCCCAGGCCTTCCAGGGCAGCCAGAGGGAAGCTCTGGATTCCCACACTTAGCATTAGCAAATTTTTAAGTTAGTCAAAGCTTTTACACTCAATGATCCTCACTCAAACATATGATGAATCAGCAGGTTACACTAATGCAAGGTGATAAATCTTCTTTACCATCTTTGCTTACCTCTCACCAGGGACTCCTCAGGATAGATGAACTGGGAGCACCTGATATGGTGGTGCTGTTTTAGCATTGAAAGTGGTTTGAAGCCAATCAGAAACAAACCTGGAGAATCAAACTGTTTTAATTCTTCAGTCTCCTCCTTCTCCAGCACAATCTGTCGCTTTCCGTATGTCTAAACGAGGGAAGAGCAGATGACAGGGCTGCCAGCATAAAAAAAAGAGGAACAGGAGGCAGGACAGGGCAGGAAGTGGATGCAATTGCTGTGTTCCACTACTTTAAAGAAGGTTATAGACAAGACAGTGTAAACCTGCATGAGCAGTGCACACTGAAATGGCAAGTGACAGTCTGTGACCATTATCCCAAGGGAAATTCTACCTGAACATAAGCAAAATTCCCTTTTCTAAGAAAATGGCTAAGCCCTGATACAGAGAGGCTGTCACATCTCATCTCTGGAGTCCTTCAGAGCTGTCCCAAAAAAGCCCTGAGCAATCTGATCTGGTTTTGTGAGTCTTGCTCTGGGCTGGGTTGTACCAGACTTTTTCAGAGGTGCTGTCCAATTGTAAACTTGCTTCAGCAGATGCATGTCAGCTATCTGCTCCTGACAGAAATAGAGACTAAGAAACAATGTTTCTGTAGCACTACTCATGCATCACAAAATCAAATTATGGATTTATTATAGTTCAGCTGTTGAAGGTAGACATCAGGGCTTAATATTCAGCTTTCTGTTTATGTCCTATACTTTATTTCAATAAACTAGTATCTATAAATAGACTAAATACTCCATTTTAAGACAACAACTTTAAGAGCTGTTAACATGGAAGAAGACACGAAGCACACTTGTGACAGTATACCTAGCAACTACATAACCTGTTCTGAAATAAAGCTGTGCCCGGTCACAATGTGACACTCAATTTACATCAGCCAAACTATCAAGCAGGAAGGCAAAACAGATAAAAATTTATACAAAAACTCCAAAGGTAACATGCCTTTTGTTTGGAAAATGGCTCCAACTCTCCTGTGATTCACACTTGTATGTTTAACGAAATGCACCAAATCTGTTCCTAATGAATCAAAAGTTGACAGCAGCAGCAATGGCACAGGGTCACTCAAGGTCAGGCTCTGATAACCTCAACCTGCCTTACAGAAAGAAATGACCTGTGTTCCTGACAGCATTTTTACCAGCAGCTGTGCCTTCCCATGACAGTCAAGCCAGGGAGACAACCCATTCTCACCCTGCAGAGCTCACAACAGTGACCAGCCTGTCCCAGGTGCATACAGATGCAAATATTTCTGTATCTCATCTTGAAAGTGCAATACAAACAAAAGCAGCAAAGGAATTGGCATCTCCCTCACACATCACAGAGACAGGAAAAAACAGGCACATAATCAATGTTACCTGAGCCCTTTTAGTGTCACTGGGCAGGAGCAAGCTGCCTGTTTTTCCACTAAACATCCTTGTTTTGATTTTAACTGGTTCATTAGTTTCCCGATAAAGCTTCACTGGAAGTGGCTTATAAGCTTTTTGAATTAAGTTGTAAACACCAACAGAAAGCACCACATCTTTGCCCAGATGCAGATTTAGCCTGTGTAAAAAAGCAGATACAGAATTGAGATTCCTGAAAAATTACTACTGCAGAAGAAAATCACCTCCTCATGTAAGTTATTTCCTTTTTACCTTCTCCTGTTCTCCTCCCCCAAAATCACATACTATCACTTGAGTCATAATCTCTCCTGAAGAGAAATGATGATATTACAAGAATATTTTTAGTCATAAAAGTTATCTAAACATAAGTAATTTACCATATTCCTTTGACCTTTTTTTCACTGAAGGGCAGCTATGCTCAATCAGAGCACAGGACAAGTCCCCATTTGGGTACCCCAATTATGCTCATTGCAATGTCCATGAATTCTCATAACTGTTTGCACAGAAGGCAAAATACTCCCCCAAAAAACCCACTAAGAAAAACAATACCAAGAGTTAAGAAAAATTATAAATCAGACATTAGAGAAAAAATCAGATGCAAAAGTTTAAAAATAGAAGTAATCTTAAAGTTATGAGAGCAGAACAGTGAGTTACTACAAATACTACTTCCTCTCTTGTAAAACGTATTACTGGTATGGGATTCTTCCTCCCCAGCTATTAGAAAACTTGAGGAACATTCCCAGAAAAGAAAATAAACCTGCAAGCAGGAACAAGAATGCCAGTGACAACAGCTCAGGTTGGGATACTTTATAAATATTTATTAGAAAAAAGACATTAGGCCTTGAAGTTCATTCCCTTACTGTGCTTCCACATCATTCTGCTATGAACTCACTCCCTAAAAATACAACTGTTACGGAGCATGTGATTCCAAAAATACTTTCTATCTGCTTTGTCAAGATCCCTGTAATCTCTCTTAAGTATCTCTAATCTTTTAGTAGGAGATTAGAAATATCAAGGCTGTGTGAATCCATGCCAAATACCTAGACAGACTGGCAACATATGACTATTAATAACAGAAAAAAACCCCTAGCATTCACATTCAGATGACTTTTTTAAAGTTAGTATTGGCAAGAAGAGCCTAATTTCAATCAGATCTCACTATAAACTATTTTTTATGTTGCAGCTTTTTAGATAAGTACTTGGCAATTATGTAATTTTTTAGCAAATTATCATTTCAGGCCAAGATCAATACAGGATACATCACACAGAAAAAAGAAGAGGTCCTCTGTTCTTCTCATCCACAAATATCCTTGGAAACTACAGAAGAAACACCAATCTTGGACTAAAGAATTAAGATTGAGAAATGTAAGTACTGATGCTTTTAAAGACCAATCATTCCAGAAGAGGAAAATGAGATGCAGTCTGAAAATAACATCAGGTGCCCCTGCTGAATGATGTATCATAACTAGGCACGAACCTGACTAAAGCCCGTTTCCTTGTCTCCTTTGCTCGTACTTTCTTCATGAGATGTTCCAGTTTCTCTGACTCTTTAGGATGGATCCCAAGGTCCTCATCCTCTGCTACATTTATAATATCCCTGTAGAACAGAGAGATATCAAACCCTCCAGGCTTCTTCAAGTGCATCAAGTCCAAGATGATACCTAGAAACAATGGAAGATATCAGAACAGCATAAGAAACTACTTTTTTCTTGTATCAGCATGTATCTCAGCACTCTCAGATTTCTCTATCTACGCAAATTATTTAAGTAAGAATAAGCTCCAAATTGTCATCTGTACAAGGTGTGAAATATTCTGGAGAAAGGGGTGATTCTAGGGCAAGAGGCAAAACACATTCTTTTACTTCAGTCAAAACAATGCAGAATAGAAAATGTTTCCTGTTTAATTAAGAATTTGGATAGCATTGAATAGGAAATTACTCTGATAAGCTCCTATAAAATATAATCCTACCTCAGGCATAGAGGGGAGTAACAAGTTCAGAAAATCCCCTTTTCTTTAATTATAATGGCTAATGGATTAGGGAAGCCTCACAGCTTCTAGATCCAGGACATCTCCTGAATTCCAAAAACACTGGTTACCTCAGTTACAAAGTTGAACTAATGCTGCCTACTCTCTGAGCTCAGGCTCAGTCCTTCAGCTAATTCAGAATGGAACCATTAAAGTAATTTTGTGTTAAGTTGGTGTTATTATTCCCTTCCTGGAAAATTATACAATAACAAAAAAAAAGTTTATTTTCTCGGCCCTGGCATGTCCCCATTTATGCTATCAAACTAGAAAGTGATCCTAGAAAACAAGTGCTAGCTACTGGATACCAGATCAGAAAACATATATTCTGATTTAGATTAGATACAAAATTTCTGGCTTAGAAACATTCCCCAGTTCTGATGATTTTACATCTTTTTCCATCACAAACCAGCAATGCAGATAACATCTGCTGCTAAGATTCATCATGTTTATTGTGTCTAAAATGAAAAGTGGGAATAATGACCTGTGTCTCTCAGATCACCAGCTCTGGTCCTGGCCAGCTTGGCTTTAGCACTGTCATTGGCATGAGGGTCATCCTCGTTGGTGAAGAGCATGATCCTCTTATGGCTCAGCCTGACTCGGACGTCACTGAAGAGGTTCGAGCAGGCCCAGAGCGCTTCACCCAGGGAATAGTCAGCGCTGTGGCCAAAGCTCTCCCGGAAAAGTGCCCGTCCTTCGTCTCCCCTGTACTGGTCCAGCTCTAGAACACGCTTCGCACCTAGAGGGGCAACAGCATTCACAGGCATTAGAAATACTGACAGAAGTACCATGAGCTCTTCTAAGTATACACCGGGGCTCCCTTGCAGCTCACATCCAAGGAATGCTCCCCAAGTACTTCTGTGGTAGCGTCCTTCCAACACCTGGCTGAGAAAATTGTCCAGCATGGCCTAACATCTGCAAAATCACAAGCCAGTTACCACTGAAAGCACCTGCTAGGGCAAGAGGATACAAAATACCCTGGCACCAGTGTGGGCTCTTTCTGTGGGGAAGTAAAAATGACAGGGATCAAAGTATTGCAAACCTCCTCCACTGAATGCCAAGTGCTCAGCAGCAAAGGCAGCAAACTGCCCCTGCCGCAGAGGCACAGCAGACTGCTGCACCACCACAGAAGAGGAGCCTGAAATGCATCCTGCATCTCCACAGCAAGCTGGGAAGGTGGAGAGCTCCTCCTCCTCCTTCCTTGCCCCTCATATCAGAGAGAATGCACAGAAAGGTGAGATGAAGCCCACAGATCACCACGCTGAGCACAGCAACATTCAGGTCAGGCATCCACAGCCTTGTTGCAGTTCTGAGGATTACTTCAACCCAGCTAGGACTCCTTTTCCCACCTAACAGCAGATTCTGTTTTCTTCTGATACTCTGCAATGCGAGACAAGCTTTCATTTTCAGCCACTGCATTCTGCAGAGCTTCTTCCTTTGTCCTTCACTTAAGCTCTATAGCACTTAAAAAAATTCATTTGCAAGTATTTTCCTCTCCCTCTACTATTTTATTTTCATCTCTCCATCTGTTCTTTAATGCAAATGTTCATAGTTACATACTCCATAAAAATCACCTATAGCATCGCTTTCTTCTCCAGAGGACTGCTCTCCAGGAGCAGCAAATGCACAATTCTATTCCTTTTGAACTGATGCCTTAAGTTTTAGCTTTCATATTTTCTAGCTTCTGTACTACATTGGTATATAACTCTGAATTTCATATAAAGAGTTAGCAAGTTCTCTTCACAGGGCAGTTAGACAAAACAATTCTTTTCCAGCCTGAGAACCAAGAACACCATTGCAGCTTCAGGCCCAGAAATCGTAAACAACAGTAAATTGAGGAGAGCCATCTGGGAGGATGGGACTTCATAACCTGAAGCTGAAATTGGACAATTAACCCCAACATGGAAATGGACCAAAACTTATAAAAGTGTGAAACCTCGTGATCAGGCATCCATCTTGGGTGGAACCATGGCCAGGCTCTTGTACTGACCCAGGTGTATTCTTTGAAGGCTTTAATAAATACCTACTTTATTCTTTTAACACTGTCTAGCCTCTGTTCCAGGTAGCCTCACAAGGCATCAGAACAACACCCACCTTTCACCTGTGCTGTTTTTATCCTCATGGCGAGGCTACTGCCTCTAACATGGGAGAAAGGACAAGCAAGGAAGAAGGAGGAAAATGAAAAAGTAAGACCTATAAGGCAGTGAATAGGTCTGCCAGAAAAGGCAGAAGAACCTAAGGCAGTCCTATCAGGTCTCTATTGTAATAAATTCTGAAAATAGGACAAGGCGCAATTCTTTCAGGAGAAGCCCCTGTGTCGTTAAACCTGCAACCCCTAGTAAAGAAAATTAAATCAAACATCCTCAGAGATAAAGGCTGCTATGAAAAGTTGTAGACAAAATTCCCCCAGAAGACTCTCAACTGTAAAACAATCTGTCACCACTAGCATGTATTCTTTGCACTTCTCCTACTGCCTTTCCAATTCAGCAACCAGCACTTGTTATCAAGCAGATGGTATGTAATCTTAAGAAAACGAAAGAGCAAAATTCAAGAATTGCAGAACTTATTACAGAAATAAGAGATGGAACACTCCAAACAGGCTACCACATTGAACCACCTGCTCTAGCTGACACTGCTTGAACAGGAGGGCTGGACAAGATGACCTCCAAAATCCATCCAACCTCAGCCATTTGGTGATATTCTCCATCAGCTGGAATCCATGGTGCCTTAACATGGACACATACTTTTCTGATGGACATTCAAGGGTTCTGTTGAGGTACTCTTAAGCTTTAGCAGACAGCAAGTGAAGCCACCACATTAAAATATAAGAAAAGATATAGAAAAGGATCTGAACCAACTCTAAGAGAAAACACTAGGCTCTCATGAATTTTCTAAGCTTTCAAAAAATATCTAAATCTAGCCCCACCACCAACAGTAGATTTCAGTAAGAACTTACCTGATAGCTCTCTGATCTTCTAGAGATCAACTACTGACAATGTTACTACACCAATTTCCTTGCTCCCTCTTTTTACACAATCTTCATACCACTTTACCTGGATTGTCCAGCTCCTGGAGAACATAAACGTGCTTGAAATCTGCTGAATTCTTGTTGTTTTCTGTACCATAGAACACAACACTTAACAGGTCCCTGTCACTGCTGATAATTTTGCTGGTATACACAGTCCGGATGCACTGAAAAAAACGCACCCAGGTCAAAATTACAAGAAAGTAGTTTTCAGAAAGGAGTGTGTGTGAAAGTCTTGCCTTAGCCATTAGCAGTTTATCCATCCCTACCTGGATGGTCATGTCGAAAGGAGTCTCTGCCTCTCCGTCGGACTCGAACATAGCCTTGGAGGCATCCACCAAGAAGATGAGGCTGTCCCGGCCCGAAACCCTCTGGTCCGCTACGGAACGGAGGGAAACAGTTTTAGCAGCGGCCCCTCCGCCGCCCGTGGAGCCTGGAAAGAAGGCAGTGGGCCCCGATCTGCCCTCCGTGAGGGTGTGGGGGGCCCTTACCGACCGCCTCAGACCCTTCCTCCTCTTCCTGCTGCTCCTCCTCCTCCTCCTCCAGCCCCTCGCCCCGGTAGAACGACCCCCACCCCGCCATGGCTCGGGCGGCTCCCGCCAGACGCAGCGCCCGGGCCCCCGGTCCCGCCCACGGTCCCGCCCACGCGCGGCCAACCGCCGCCCGCCGGATCGCCCCGCCCCGCAACAACGCTGACCAATGGCGAGAGCGGGAGTGCGCCGCGCCCCGCGCCTCCCGGGGCACCGCCCCGCCCCCCGCGCGGATTGGCTGCAGTGTGGCAGCGAAGGGCGGGAGCTCCTCACGCGCTTCTCGCGGCTCCGAGCCTCGGCCAATGACAGCGGGACTCGTCCGTCCCCGCCCTCCGGCTGTAGCTCCGCCCCGGCGCTGTCGTGCACTGACGGGGCGGCCCGGCAGGCGCGGGGCGTCCGCGCATGCGCCCGGGCAGCGTCGCCCCTTCCTTCCCGTCTGTCACCTCACGGCTGGTGCCGCTGCGCCGGGGACCGGCACCGGAGCCGCCCTTTCCTCCCGTTCCCCTCCATCTCCCGGAGGGAAGGGCCGTTCAACCTTGTCTGCAGGGGCTCCGGCTGCCGCTCGGCGGCCGCGCCCGCGCCCCCATGGAGGAGCCACTGGCGCTGCACCCCGTGAAGCTCTATGTGTACGACCTGTCCAAGGGCATGGCCCGGCGCCTCAGCCACCTCATGCTGGGTAAGAGCACGGCGGGGGACGCGGGGCCGCCCCCGCCTCCCGGGGGATCGCGTTCCGCCACCGACCACCGCGGCCTGGCTTTGCTGCGCCGGAAAACGGGGCTGAAGTCGCCGCCTCCTGCCCCGGAGGTGGCGATCCCCGCCCGGTATCGTTCTCCCGAGGGAGCGGCCCGCCAAGGAAGGCTCCCTGAGGGCGCACCGGGCGCCGGCGGCGTCCGGCGGGTGCAGCGCGGCTTGGGATGTGCGCGGCTTGCCCGGAGGCTCGGTGCTCGGGAACACGGCGGGGTTTGGCTGCGGGATTTCTGACCCCGCTGTCTCCGGGACGAGTTTTGTCAGTGCGGCAGATCCAGGTGCTCTGGGTCCAGCCTCTTCTCCCCCAGCCGCCCGTTGCCGCTGCGTGGGTGGTATTTACTGACGGCAGGTTAAAAGTGTTCCTTGGCCCCTGAAGGGAGGGACAGCTCGGCCCCCGGCTGCTGTGGTGCCGCGGCCGGAAAGCTGAGCTGAGGAAAGGCGCCTGCTGTTTACAAGGTTATTGAGTTCGAACAGCTCCATGTTGTGGCGAGGTCGGGCTGGGTTGGTGATGTGCAGCCATCCTCCTTCACAGAGTTTGTAGAAGTCTGCTGTATGTCTCGTCGAGATTGTGTGCGTTTCCAACCGAACCTGAGATTTGGGATGGAAAGGAAACAGATTTTGCTTAAAGTTTTGGAAACATGAATTAGGAATGCAACAAGAGAGTGGTTTATACCTGTTAGTAGATTCTGACCCGTGTCAGACCAGCAGTCTGTGTGGGATGAGACTTCTCAACAGACTCAGTGTCTGAACAGATGGCTCTGTGTAATCTTGTTTTACAGTTTGTTGGCAGTCACTTTGCTCATCTGCCCTATGAGGAGATTCTCTGATTTCCTGCAAGCTTAAAATCAAAGTCCAAACAATTCTTAGCTTGAGGTTTCATGCAGGTCAATGATAGGTTTGCAAAGTTGAGAAGAAAATAGTACAGAAATCATGTGTGTTGTACTCTGTTAGTCATTTAGCAGCTACCACTTTGGGAGATGTGTGTTTCCTGCACTGGATAACCTCAAAACTTTTTATGTGGTCAGAATTGCTTCTGTTGTAGCCCTTAGAGGAAGTAGCTTTTCACCTATCAAGTGAAATAGCCATGTTTTATCATGTGCTAAGAGTTATAAATCTTGAGATTATATGGGTGTGTGATTTACCTGTGTTTGAGTTGAGTAGAATTTAACTACTCTTATTTCAAAGTATTAGTCCCAGCAAAGACTGTAATAGAGATAGATTGCCACTATAATTATCTCTATGCCAACCTTCACACAGATCAAGCAAAGGCTTTTTAGTTCCTTCTTACCTACAAAGTCAGTTTTGGGATTTTGTAGTTTTCCAAATTTCCACATAAAAACACATAGCACATGACTTCATTTTGATGCTTTCTAATCTATTCAGACAACATCTTGAAAACTTTGTGCTTGTGATATATAGTTTGGTGGTAAATTTTGGGAATCTGAGCAGTGAAAAGGAAAGCTTAAAAACCTGAACACTTGGGTAGTAGGGGAAGTGCTACTCGCTCGTACTGCCTGGTAACTGTGTTCAGATCTGTTCATGGAATGTGGCCAACTAGGCCCGCGTGGTCCCAGTGACAATGCAGACTGCAGAACATTTGAGATTGTGTGGATCCTGTGACATGATTGTCCATAAAACAAATCATTCTTTCTTTCTTCCTTCTTCAAGTTGTGTCTTCTGTGCATTCACACTCAGCTCTGTTTCAGGTGATTTTGGAAACCCCCCCAAGAGCCAAGTGACTGAGAGAATACTCCTCTTACCTCATGCATAGACCCTTTTTTCCCTGAAGAACAGCAAAAAAACTCTTTTTATTTCTATGTATATCAACTCTCAGATGATCAATATAAATTCTTTCCTTAGTGATAGGTTATTGGGGAAAGTCATAGAAATTAAAGAGGAAGGTATTTGTTAAAGTATTTACACTTGGCATCTCTGCTTACAGTATTCTTTTCATCAATGCCAACTTTGAAACAGTTCTTTTGTTTTGATTGATAATCCTATAATATTGCCTAAATTGAAATACATTGTTTAAGAAAGAAAAAAAAAAATAAATACAGTAATTGATTGTACTAAAATCAATTTCTGTCAGGCTTGAAAGCAGCAGCTTAGGTCCCTTGGCCAAAGTGGGATGAATTCTATCTTATGAGACTGACCACTGCAAGAACATCACTGCACTGTGTCTTCTGTTGTGCTGTAGGGTCCAGAGGTGCTGCAGATTATGTCAGCACAGCCTTTAGGGATCAACTCTCACTACCAAATGTTATACTGACTTTTTCAGTACCAGTTCTCTCCGTTGTCATTGAATGATGAATCCGGAAAGGAGAGATGTTTAGCACAGTTCATTGCAGGCTTTAGAGTGACTTAGTCTTGAGCCTTGGAGAGTCTTTGTTTTTTTTGGGAAGCTTACTCTTTTTATACCCAGACTGCTTTTATTCCTCTTACTTTTCTGTAAGCTTCCTGTAATTTAGTGACTATTTCTATTATGAAGTATACATGACCAAAAATTGTAGGCTTTTGGTATCAGAAGCAGCACATTTAATTTTTATGTTGCTTTACATTGCACCTTCTCAATAGCTATTGTTGGTCTTCTCTTCCCCACTCGCAGTCTGTGACTGCATTTGTCTGTTCAAATACATATTACAATAATATGAAATGTTGACCTGAATATGCAGTAAGATTTCTGTTGCCAAGACAGAAAACATAATCCACCTGATTTCTGCGGAGGGTAAAGAGGAAAAAGAGAATAGTTCAGCTTGCAGTGCTGATTTTGAAATAGACATCCAAAGGCAGAGAAGTCTTTAAGGAAGATTAAAATCCTATTGCATCGTAGGCTTAAAGAAAAATATCTACTAGCTCAAAGTTCTCCTGTCCTGTAACTGAGGTTATTGCTTTTGTGACTCACAGAGTGAGCTGGGAGCCTGGTAAACCACAGTAGCTTTGGCTCAGTGTAGTATAAATCAACATTGAGTGGACTGGGAGTATGTTTTGGTTGAAATTTTTAAGTGGTGCATTCAGCTGGAGGGATTTAACAGCCCGGAGGGAATTGGAGCGAAAGGTAACTGCTGAAAGGAGGTGCCTTCTGCTTGGTTCCATTTTCCCAGGCCAACACATTTCTCTGCTTCTCCTCCATCTGTTCTGAACAGTTTTGAATTGCTTCAGCATGATATTCTATCAGCTTTGCTCCCAGCATTTGCTGGGGATTTCATGAAAATGGCATGCATTACCCTCCCCCAGTATAGCCTACTTCTGGGTCTCTCTAGGCACCTCAGAGAGGAGGGAATTGAAGCAGGCTCCTCCCTCTCTGTTAGGTTTTATTTTTGCTTTGGTTGAGCACACTCGGTAGCACATAGAAGAGAGTGCTTGACTAAGTGCTTGCCTAATTAGAGTAATTTTTAATTCAAAAAAGGCAGAAATCTTAATGGATTGTCCTAGGGAAATTAGAGCAATATGCAAAGCAATGTACTGCTAGAAACACCCATGTTGGTTGACCAAATTTTATTACTTCCGATTCCACAGGAGAGCAGTTCACTACCTTTTTTAGAGTCTTTTATGGTGTTCTGGGGATTGCATATCCGTTGCAGAGCACAGATACGTTCTTAAAGCTCAGTTAATACCGAGCTTCCTATTATTTCTTTACAGTTCAAAAACAGGCATAGATCTTGCACTGAGGGTTGGATGACCTAAACTCTGCATGAGGTAAACTAAGTGCCCATTTGCACAGACAGTTCCTTCGCTCCTGTCTCAGAACTCTTCTGCCCTTCAGTATAATAATTTAGATTAATATACAAATACCACTTTCATTTGATATTTACAATGCACAGGAATAAAAAACATTGTTTGGCCCTCAAGATTAATAAATTACTGTGATGATAAAAAAGATTGGTGAGCATCTAATCTCCCTTGTGCTTGGCCTTCCAGACAAATCTAAGCATGGAAGTAATCCAGTTTGATTGTATTCTAAAATTATATGGGCTTGCTTCTTCTTTCAAAATACTCCTGTATCTAAACAATTACAGTCTCCTGAATTGATTTTGCAAGAACCTAACTACTTCATTCTCTGTGTTCCTGTGACTAAGCTGAGGGTCCTGGAATTGTTTATGTTCTGTTTTTCTCATAGGTTTCTGGCTCATGTAAACACCATTAAAGTATGTGAACTATGAATGTTATAAAGAAAATAAAATAGCAAATATAAAAACTCGTTTACTTGCTACATGATACTCTCCGTTATTGAAACAAATTGAATCTTTGAGATGCTTAAGCACACAATTTATACTGAACTGGCATCTCCCCCCAGGTTCTAGTGAGTACTTTCAGGAAAGAGCCACAGAAGCAAGGGAAAAATATAAAAGTAAATAAACAAACAAACAAAAAAAAACATCCCCAGACAAAA